CCGGAACGCTGCCGGGCCGAAAGAATTTTTCGGCTGGGCGTCGCGCCGGCCGAAAAATTCTTTCGGCCCGGCGGCGTTCCGGCCGCAAATTTTTTTCGGCCCACCGTGTTTTTTCGCCGGAAAACTAGAAAAATTGCCGGAAAATTGAAAAACTTGTCGGAAAAAGTAAACTCACTTGTTTTCCGACGATTGAGGACGACGGGAGGTTGACGCACCTGCTTAGTGATGATTCATGGATGCGTGTCCGCAGTTTACGTCGAGGATGGGCTTTCCCGATGGTTTTCCGGCGACTTTTCCGGCGAGCGTCGATTTTTTCTGATTCAATACGTTTTCTGAAAGTTGGATATGTTGTAGATTGTGAAATTTCTTAACCAAAGATGTACATATATACTTCTTTTTTTTTTTTTTGGTTGGCGGCAAATAGCAATTTGGTTGGCGGCAAATAGCCGTTCACATTATATATAGTACTGTCTGTGAGGATTTAATTTATGCAGAAGACTTCGATATCTTCGTTGCTTCCTCTTGTTTCATGGGTTCTTTGCCGTCATTGAATAGATAACGAAACCCGTATCCTCCTGTTTCCATGGCTGGTCGAAGGAATCGCCAGGTTAAGTTTTATGCTTTGCAAGCTCAAGTTCTTAGTCTAAAGGGATTGATTCGCCTGCTTTATTCTCACTAAATTGTAAGCTTGTGCTCACAGCGAGCGGAGGCGACAATGCATTTTGTTTTCTTTATTATTTTTTTTTTTTTGGCGGCAGAGTTTATCCTCAAGATTTATACCTTAAAATTAACAAAGAATTAATTATGGAGAGGTTAGGGTGCTAACGTCCAATTTGTTAGCTAATACTAGTTCCAATCAGTAGAAACATTTCGTTTTCATGACTTTCTTTTATTCCAAAGAGTTGACCATTATTAATGCGAATTTGTAAAGGGAAGAAAATGCTTGCCATTATTAAAAATTAGAGGAGGACAAGCATGTGGCGCTAGGCTTAATTGGCAACGGGGCGGATCGGGTCCGGGTACCCTGTATCCGTCCCCCGCCCACTATGGGCTTCGGGTTTTCCTGTCCCCGGTCCAAACGGTGATACGAGTCTGATAGTGGCACAAGCTCCATTAATTACCGCTGGGTTTTCGGGTGCCCGCGGGTCTAAGATACCCGCAACAATAAAATAATAAAAAAAACTTAATAAATGAAAAAAAAATAGAAAAACATGAATATGTAACTTTATTCTGAGTAAATGATAGTCTGAATTCTAAAATTGTAAGCAACAAAAATTCATGAACTCAACAAAGTTATGGTGGGTGGAACGGTTTCTCTTCCATTTTCGGGTGTCATCCGCTTTATCCATTTTCTCATGTTACCAATTTGGGGGCAATAATTGAGTAAATATGTTCGGTTAACACCACAACTTAATACATTAGCTATTTGTGTATTTGAACTGACATGCCCCAAAACTTGATCTTTCTAATCTCACGTTTCAATTTTAGCCAGTGAGTTTTTCGAGCCTAGTAAAGAAGATAGTTTTGAAGCTTCCTTCTAATGAGCCGTTTGTTAACTAGTATTTTTTATATCTTATGCGTCTTTAATTTCGGTTGATGGTTTTGTGTTGGATGAGTTTGGTCTGCCACGACTCACCCTCTTGCCTAGTTGGGGCTATTTCTTTGTTAATTTTGCAGGTACATCTGCTCATATAGGGATCTGCAAGCGACCTTCTCATTCACTAGTTTGATCGTGAAAGAACCGGATTCGATGCACTTTTGTCTTCTGACACTTAATTAATTTTTTGACAATGAATAGGGGAATAAATACAAATCTTTTCAAGTACGTTTAGTGTGTGGGTTTGATCAATGACTTTCTCCCTGCAAATGGTACAAGTTAAGTCATGGATTCTCCCCATACTGTTGAGGTAACAAAGAGCCGCCCATATCGTGGAAAAAGGCTCTCTTATCGATGGATAACCGTCGTTCCTTCTCTTTTTGTGATTTGGCCTGTAAAGGTCGTGTAATTATTCTCGTGTCTGTCTATTCCTTTCGGAATATCTATGGAAAAAAAATATTAAGTTAAAATGTACAAGACCACACAAGAGGGCAAATCGAGATGGGGTTAGTACTATACACCAAGCATATTCATTAAAACTAATTGTTAATATTTATTGTTGTCAAATCCTTATACATATATACGAAGTTGTGAATACTAAAATCTATTATACAACAAATCACTACTTTGACACACAAAGCTATTAGTAAATGGTATATGATTCATAATTGAATCTCTTTCAACAACTAGAGCTATCAGAGGAGTAGAAATTCACTAGTTTTTGACATGATAAAGAGTCTTTTATAACTAAGGGGGTCTTCTGTTCGAATCCCGACGACCCCCATATGTTATGTTAACTGTTAAGCGTATATGTTTTCCGGACCTGTGTAAAGTACTTCAAGCGCCCTTCCGCGTTATCTTTCGTTTGAGAGAATGTGTTAATAAATGCGATCATGATCCATAATCGAACCACTCCCAACAATCCTAGACAAAATTCTCACCCTCCGGTGACGATAATCGATCCTTTGTTTTATTTATGAAGAAAAGCAAGCAAGAAAGAGGAAACGTACTCATACAAAAGATCATTAGCAAAAACTGCTTGGGAATATTAAAGAAACAAGATAAAAAAAACAACCCGAAACCATCATAAACGGAAAACACGGGATAGCCTGCTGGCCGGCGATTAGGATGTCGATTACAAACAAAGTGGGTACAGATCCAGCAAAGTGTCGGGGCTGACGAATACGGCGATGCATGCATGCACCTCGATCGATGAATCTCCTCCAATTACATAGAACATGTTTTTTTTTTTTTTTTTTATGAATTGCACAGGCAATCACAATCGTAGGGAATCCGCCCACAGACACAACCCACCTTGCAACCCCTGTTAGGATCTTGACCGTTACACAGACACGGATACAATATTCGACACTGTTGGTCGTTGCAATTGTGGTCGCAGTCCTCCTGCGTCCAACTCCAACGATTTCCGACATTGTACAGTGTTTGCGGTATCATCACTGTTGCATCTGTTCCTCTATCAGGGAGCTGCGAGGTCGTGTTCGAGTGGTCGCTGTATGATTTGATGAGTAATAAGCATCAGTTCGACTAATAAACAGACGAGATTGTACGAGAAAAACATGCTATACAGATGTGCGCGCGAAATAGAGAGTGATTTTTCCGACAATTCATTGTTGGTGTCAAGAATATATCATCGTGATAGATAGACTATACCGCATCGACATGACAAGCTATACCTGACATTCGTCGGAGCATCGACGACGTTTTCCCCCTCCGAGCCGGCATCTCTCGATGCACTTGAAGGCAAAACACCTGCGTACATGCAAACCTTAAACTATATGTAGTAATATGGTGTGTAGCACATGAATTAATTACGTGGAATTTAAGATGTGATAGTACATGGAAGGATGATGATCAGAAGCAAGACCACGACCAGCTTATCAATAGTAGTACTGATCATGGCTGCTTTTTCTTGCTTTTCTTTCCTTCTTTTGAGATATACTTAGATTTGTTGAGCAAATGCTGATGCTGCTGCTTGCATGTATATATATATATACTTCATTCGTTAACTAATATTCAATTTTCTTGTGTTAATTAAAAATTTTGCAATATTGCTTCTCTTAGCTTTGGTTCATTGGCCTCCCCGCCGTGAGATAAATTAAAAAAAAAACAATTAATATTACACCCTTTTTTGGGAGTACATTTAGGCTACTTATGATACAACAACCATTTGAACGGCTCACGATGCAACCAAGTAATTGGTTAGCTTGGAAGCGTTGTAAGCTATGAACTTATTCTTCTTCTTCTTTGTCATTTTCTTTGTTGGAAGAACTATATATATATGCTATTCCACTCAAAACCCAAAATGCTTCTTACTATATATAGGCCAACCGGCTATAAGACACAAGACTAGGGTTATAACCATTGGAGATTACAACAAAGCAAAACAAAGGCATATACAGTAGTTGTCACCATATAATATGTTTATCATGAATTTGTCATACACATATGAGACACAAAGACCAGCTTCTAATCATAGTGACTCAAAGGCAGAATGATGTATAGTCATTTGAATTTGTCATCACGCATTTTAAGCAGGACCGCGCTAGGTCGTGCTTAACGCATGACACATCAGTTTCTGTGTGGCGTTACGTCATCTCATTTTTCAAATTTCGTCCATGGTATATACTCTTGCTTGAATGCAAAACACCTCCATGTATGCAAATATTCAATACGACTATTGGTATCTATTCACATCTCTTATTCGTTCTAAAGCCAAGAAACAAGGTATCTATCCACATCTACTATTTGGTTCTCTAAGCTTTGGTTCATTGGCCTCGCCGTCGTGAAATAAAAACAATTAATTAATATGATACTTCCTTTTTTGGAGAGTATTTTTACGCTACTTATGATACAACAACCATTTCAACGGCCAACGAGAGTAATTTTTACGCTACTCATATATTACTAATATTAGTAGGGTGAGTTTCGAGTTTAGTTGTCTTTAGGAGTGTACAACTATTCCATCCATTACAAATTGGATCAAACCATGAAAATTGCAGTCTGATAGTAAATGAAATATGAGGACCTTATAATCAGGAGTTCATTTGATTCGATTCGTTTAAATATATGGCCTACATATCAATTTGGTCCATTTATCTTCAATATCCATAAAACTCATAGAATTAAATCAAGAACTGAAACCTATTATATTCATTATCTCATCCAAATGTTAATTTGATCTAACGTGATTTGGTAGGGGACCAACCGCAAATTGCACACTCCTAATTGTTCAACGGTAAATTTGTTGTTTGATATGAAACATGAGTAACATCTGGCCAAAAGATTTGGTAAAGTAAAACTAGAAACCGAAAACCAATCAAACAAACAAACCCATACGAAATTGGCCGCCTTGGACGGACTAGATCCGCATTTGCCGACTCGGGCCAACTTTCCAAAGTTCTGGAGGCTACCAATTTTTGCTAATACGGCAGTGTTTTGAGTTCCAATCACAAAATTAGGTACGGAGCCTCCTCGCCCTCGTCCTTGTCCAGCGGAGGAAGGCGAATCCTATTACACCCTCCAACTCCACCGTAGGGCAGCCGCCTCCTCTCCGTCGAGCTGATTTCGTTCACCAGTTCCTACGTCCTGTGTTCGTTCTACCTTCTTCTTCGTCCAGATTGACGCTACCTTGCTTGAATTGGCTTTGTAGATTACCTGATCGCCGGCGGTGAGCCTTGTCATCTTATTTCCTTCCATTCCAGCCCTTTCAATATAAATATTTTGATTCTTGACCGTGCATGGTGATGGGTTACAGCCCTTCCGTAATTTGGTTGGAAACATATGGCTCTTCGCACTCGACCAAATCCAACCCTTTCCCAACCGTGCGTACCGGTCCGGGCTCCGTCTCTTTCCCGGCGGCGGTTTCCTCCGTCTTCCATCTCACTCGTTCCTGGGAATCAACCCAAACCGTGCGGTTCGCTGAAATCCTCGGCGACCGACGGATTAATACGCTTGCCGTGTAAACCCTTGTCGAAAGGCAAGCTCGGTGGATGGGAATTCGAGGCCAAGCAATCGAGCGCCTCCACGTCCCCTGTTTGCTTGCTGGCTCCAAAGGACAAGCCTGGAAGAGGCGGTAATCAGGTGAGTTTTTGCAGCAACCCTATTGGTTCCTGTTATTCTTTCCTTCCAGAATGAACGAGAATGGCCATGTGGGTTCGGGGTTTTTGGGTTGTTTAGGGTATAACATGTTCGTTTCTTTGTTCTTGGCCATTTGGATTTTGTGATTGCTAATGATATATGTTATGGTTCCACGCTTAATCTTCGTGATGGAAAGTGGAAATTGATCAATTGGAAGTTTGTTACTCTAGTTTTGATGGGCCTTTTCCTCGGATTTGGTTGGCAATAATCTGTCAGCGATCATCTAGTCAAGAATTTAGAATTGTTGGGAGATGTCCAGGGATAGATCTTACACCATCCTCAAACGAAGTCCAACTCACGGACTTGAATTTGCACTGGTGCTCCGTTTAACTTGTGCTTAGATTAACTGTCATTACGACTCTCAAGCTCGCCTATATTAACAAGGATCAACTCTATTTATCTGGTTGCTTCTCTCACGCCCTGTTCCTCTAATCAAGTTGATAAAGGGTGTAGCATAAACCTAACTGAAGCCTGGCAAACTGTGGAAGGTTGGGAATAAGGTATTGAGTTAGCATGGTTAGAGATGCTGACTAAGTTATTTGTTTTGTCATTAGGGATTGCCATGGGAGTCCTTTGGCGAAGCTACAGAGAATTTTAAAGGAAAGTCAATAGAAGAGATGTTAAGGGAGCAAATGAGGAACACGGAGTCCAATGCTGGAGGAGGGAGTGGCAAAAGGAAACCTCCAGGTGGTGGTGGTGGTGGTAGAGGTAGACGGGGTGGTGGTGGTTCTGGAGATCGAGAAGAGGGTGGGGCGTCTTCATTTGGAGTTTCGGATGAAACTCTGCAAGTGATCTTAGCTACCATTGGTTTTCTCTTTGTGGTAATTCATTTCTAGCCTGCTTCTCTGTTCACATTCCCAGAGTTCTTTCGATTGTTTAGTTTTCTTGCATCTGTAGCAGCCCTTCTGTGGAAATTATCTGCCTGATCAATTTTAACTGTTCTGTTGCAGTACTTTTATGTGATCAATGGGGTGGAGATGACTCGTCTAGCTAAAGACTACATTAAGTTCCTGTGGACGGGGAGTAAAAGCGTGCGATTGAGGAAAGCCATGGAGAAGTGGGGGAGTTTCCTGCAGCCGCTGCTTGACAAGAAAGAGTTGCTCAAATGTGGATTAGAAAGAAAGATTGCCGATGCTGCAAGAAGTTGGTTCGATGGCCCGACGAAGTACAGGCACATATTGAGGTCGTACCTCACATCAAATACTGGCCAGTAGCCTACCCCCTTTCCTTCGTAGTGCACTGTAGAAACATATTAGACCAACGCCCTGGAACGGTCGTTTTTTTTCTTTCTTCTTTCTATCTCAGATTGTAGGTTGCTTTAGTCGACATTCGACAACACTTTTCTGTATGCCGTATACAACTGTTGGAGGCATGTCTTTTTGGACTGGTGACATATGTGTTTCATGACCAACCAATAATCCTTGCAGAGTAGGTTCCCTGCTTGAGGAAATCCAGCCTTGCTAGTTGTGGCGATATGAAGGTAGAAGGAGACTAATGGAATTGGATGATTGAGCTTCAAATGTAAGACAATGAGACACTGAAACAAGGGGGTTGGCCTAAACTGAAGTGCAGCTCGTTTCACTAAATGGAAACTCCCAGATTTCACAGAACAATCTATTACATGCGCTGCCCTGTGTATGTATGTTGATAGCATTCCTCTAAAGTTCAAAAAAGACTTTTTCCTCCTGAAAGAATATGCTAGTTTATATTGTAGTATGAGAATCCTGCTTGCAGTAAGAAAGGAACAAGAAATAAGTACACTGGTTGGAGATGAAAAAAGACATTTTCAATTGCCATAGCCATGCTTCCGTCTCATTCGTTCCTTGACGAACTCATCCCTAGCTGTAGTACGAGCCTGTTGAGGAGCGACGTTGATGTACGAGAGATGCGCCGCGTAACCCATGATCACAGCTGCTCCGACAAACAAGGCCACTGTCACCCCCAGTTTCTTGGCTGCGGAAGGGAAGCAAGTGACCATTTCCGTGGGTTCTGTTTCTAGACGCTGCAGCTGAAATATAGGAGCTGGAAAAACAAAAAAAAGTTAAAAGTACTCATTGGGGCATTTCGTCGAACAGATGGCAGGCAGGTGAATCAAATAATAAGGCTACTCACCAGGGACTACTGGGGAAGGGTCGTGAAAAATTCAGATCAAGCTTCGGCGTAAAGAAACCACAGCATGTGTAGTAGTGAATAGTGAGTGCAGATCGACCTACGTACCTTGGATCTGAAGAACAGAAGAAGCGTGAAGTAGACTGGACCTGAGAATGCAGAATATGCCAGGAAAAAATCAGTGTCGTTATTATTTTGTTTTCATACATTATAATTTTACTTTCTGGAAATTATTTCAATTAGGGGATGTAGCTCAGATGGTAGAGCGCTCGCTTAGCATGCGAGAGGTACGGGGATCGATACCCCGCATCTCCAACTTTTTTTATTTTTACCTGTGTTTCACTCCTCAAGCCCATTCCCAAAGCCTATGGTTTGTTTCACTCCCCAAGCCCATTTAGCCCACTAACAGCTAGATTCTCAATCGAAACTTTTTTTATTTTTACCTGTGTTTCACTCCTCAAGCCCATTCCCAAAGCCTATGGTTTGTTTCACTCCCCAAGCCCATTTAGCCCACTAACAGCTAGATTCTCAATCGAATAGCCAATGGTAAGTTGATTCTTATCTCTTTGTTCCATCTCCAACTTTTTTTATTTTTACCTGTGTTTCACTCCTCAAGCCCATTCCCAAAGCCCATTCCCAAAGCCCATGGTTTGTTTCACTCCCCAAGCCCATTTAGCCCACTAATAGCTAGATTCTCAATCGAATAGCCAATGGTAGGTTGATTATTATCTCTTTGTTCCAACAAAACCGTAAGTACACTTAATTAATTTTTTGACAATGAATAGGGGAATAAATACAAATCTTTTCAAGTACATTTAGTGTGTGTTATAAAGTAAGCTAAATTTGGAATTCTCAATCTAAAAAACTTGTTGGGATTACGTTTTAATCTATTCGTATACTTGTCCCATCTTCAAACAAGAATGATCTAGATGTTCAATTGCTTTTTTCACGACTTGACAATTCGTTTCAACTTTCACTTTCCCCCAAATCACATCGCCATTTCTACTCCATACCTCACTGCCATTGTCTCAGCGATCTCCGACTCCCAGTGAGTGAGAATCCGATGAACAACCACTAGAATGCATCTTCCTTCTTTTTTTTATCCATCGCCACAACACCCATTCTTGTCATCATGTCCTTCATATACACCTCCATCGCCAAATCAGTTGAAAAAAACACCTCACACGAGAAGTTATAAATATTAGAGATGAGTATCTACCACACGTCACATTCTAGAAGTCAACATCTCTTTAGATGTTGGTTTCACGTAATCTTCTTATGAATCTGGATAACTTGTTCGAACTGTGTGTTGAAAGTGAAGTGAAAGAAAGAAAGAAAAAATTGAGGGTGTATTTCTTTTCTTGTGTACAAAAACAAGAGTTCTTCTAGGTGGAGACATTCATATTAAATTATTAATCAAGTAATGGTGGCCATAACTACAACTTGGATTATTCCCAACCATCTTTGTCACTATTCCAAAAAAAACGACACTGAGCTACGAAATTATCCATATCGAGGCATGGACAATATACCTCTGCAACATGTTCGCTGCTGATTATTATTATTATCAACACACACATGAAAAACAACAAGCACCATTGTTGAAACTCCAGGCTTGATGACTGATACGAGTATTCCAAAACCATGATCAACCCCATATACAATTGGACTTCGTACGTATATTAGGCACAGCAAGGACAGTCACAAACGTGGTTGTAGCACTTCTCCATCCCGTCGCAATGAAGCGTTCCTTTGCAGTCATCAGCCGTCTGACAGTTCTCAACATTCTTCGTCGTCGACGACCCGCTAGCCACCAGCTGGCTGGCCACCAATTCCACCGCCGGATTCGTTGCTTTGACATCCCTTGAGCACGAGACACCTCCAACTTTGAACACAAACAAACAAGTTGGTAAAATTGACGTACGAGAAATTGCACTTTGTCAAAGTGAACAGTATAAAGTACTCACTGAAACACACGAGGAAGGCAGCAGCGGCGAAGAACAGTGCAATCATCATCATCCTCCTGCTGCTGCTGCTCGCGGCCGCCATTGCTCTAGTTTTTATGAGTATCAAATATTGCTTTGCTTTTTTTTTTGGTGTGACGATTTGTGTTTGTGGCCGTCTAGCCACTTATGTTTCCAAGTATATTTATAGGTGACTGAGAAGCCGAACAACGATGACGGTGCTTTTTTTGGTTTCACAATCGTCCAAAATCGTCTGCCTGAAAATCCAAGCTGGATGATGCTCTGGCCTATAGCCTATAGGGAGGGAACGCTGTTAACCATGTCACCTCGTCTCTTTTCGTTTGGCAAGCTTCGTACTTGGCCGCTTGGCTGGAAATGTATAATTAATTATACATCTAGATAGATCCTTCACTATATTTTGACCAATGTACGCTTAGCAAAGTAGCTTGGATTTAGTTAAGATTACGGCTCGTGAGAATGATATAAGAATATAATATTTATAATTAACCATTTCCCAATAATTCGAGTGATTTGGAGTTGGTTCATGACATGATATCAGAGTTTGATTTGGTTAAGTGATCGTGTGTGTTCGAATGTTTATAACCCCAAATATAAACAGTTGATTTCACCGCAAGGTATAGTGAACCTGTGCAAATTTTAAAGCCCATGAGTTGGCTTTCACATGACTTTACATATCTTTTTTGTTAAGTGGCGAATCCGACGAAGTTTTTTATACTTAAAAGTTCGAACCGGAGACTCCCAACTCCCAAGTTGAAGACTAACCATATAACTACTAGACCATATTAGAAGGGTGTACTTGGGTCTGGTGGTCAGGGTTTAGTCATTTTAATCACCCAACCTCATTCACTACCGTTTTGAAAATATTAAACCTAAATCCACCCAAAAATGGTTTATAATTGGGTTGGGTTGGATCAGGTGGACAATACTTTTAAATAAAAATCTAACCAAACACAAAAAATGCAATTATTTTACACGATAAAAATATAATATAACTAATTAAAATTTTAAGCAAATAAATCGAGGTGAAAAGTGTCAAAATGCATAATATGTTATTCTTCTAAAATGGTAACAAAAATATTACGTGAAGCATAACCTATATTAAATCACGTATAAATTTTAAATTAAAGTATGCATTAGGTGGGGAGATCACAAGAGAAAAATATGACAAAATATTTTATATACGATACAAATATGTTTTGGATACGAACAATATGAAAATAGTTGCAACACAGGTTAGGTCGGGTTCTACGAGTTGTGTAACCTAAAATTTGCACCAGTCAAAAAAGGCGGGTTGTACAAAATGAAACCCTCACCCAACCTTCAACTTAAATAAAAGCGATAAATATGGATGGGTTGGGTTCTGTTGGACGAGTATGTCAATTTGCGAGTCTTTTTGTTCACCCCTGACTAGGGATGACAATTTTGACCTGACCCGTTTTACCCGACCTGTTTGGCTTGTTTTGGGGCGGGTCTGACCCGCCCCGTAGGTGAAAAAGGGCGAGCATGGGTACTCTCATCGACTTGGACTACCCTGACCTGCCCCATTCTCGACCAATTCTTGTCTAGTTTACATGTAATTTTAGTCAAATTACCTAGGATTTTCTTTTATTATATCATATTTTAGCTATTATAAAGTTGCAAATTAGTGAAAACCTCAATTTCTCCAATAATTTAACTACATTAATCATACTTTGGTTTTTTCTTGGTCTTATAATGAAAATAAAAAATATTTCTAATTTTTTTTATATAAATTACATACCCAATAAATCGACCTGTCCCAACCCGCGTCCCATGATAAATTATCCAAACTGAATCCAACCTGTCACGGAACGGGTATGGATATCGAGATACTTGCCCTCTGCCATTCCTGCCCTTGACCCCACCATATGCATTGGACGTTGCCGTATTTTTGTTGATTAAAATTTTGGTTAAGCCGAAACCCAAGTAAATCAAACCCATAACAAATTAGCCGGTTTGGAGTTTGGACTAACTAAACCCGTATTCGGCCGACTCATCGGCCCAACTTTCCCTAGTTTCGCAAATACGGCAGCGTTTTGAGTTCAAAGCCCACAATTAGGTACGAAGCCTCCTCGTCCTCGTCCTTCTCCCCATAGAGGAACGGAAATTCTGATACCCTCCCTCCCAACTCCACCGTAGCGCAGCCGCCTCCTCTCCGTCGAGCTTATTTCTGTTCACCAATTCTTCGCCGCCTTAGGGGCCATTGCTAGTTTTTATCCACGCTAAGCCGCCGAAGCTTCGACCTGCAGAGTTGCCGTCTTCGCCGGCCTTCTTCGTCGTTGTCTGAATTGGCGCCACCGTGCTTGAACGAAGCCTTCATACTTCTTTGTCTCTGTTCAGAGGGCGCCGGGGTGCTGAAAAGCTTTTGAAGGCTGTATTTCGACTCCCATAGTTGGTTTAAAAATGGGGTCAGTGAAGAGAAAGTCTGTTGAGGAACCAACCGGGGAGCCTCTACCGCCGCAGAAGCAGCAAAGAGAGAACGGTTCAGCGTTTCAGAATGGGCAAGTAGCTTGTGTGCACGATGTCTCGTACCCGGAAGGCTACGTTGCTCCTCCTCCTTCTGACCCTGCAGCTCAGAAGCCCGACAAGCCAGCAAAAGAATTCCCCTTCGCTCTTGATCCTTTCCAGTCCAAGGCTATCAGCTGCCTCGACAATGGGGAGTCTGTCATGGTACTTAGTTTGTTATCAAGCATTATCACTCCTTCGTTTGTTTGCAATTTCTTCCCTGGATGTGGTAATTTGTACAATGATAGGAGGTGCTTTTGAACTAACTAATCAACTGCTTCTTTTGAAGTGCTTACCAATCCCTTTGATCTCAAGCTCCTTACCACCAGTAGAGATAGAATAAATTTATGAATCGGCAGAAGTTTGGCAGAAAGGATTAGATATGATGTAGAGTCAGGGGGTTATAGTGTTGGGCAGAAAGCAGACATGGGCTTGACCTAGAAAGGATACGTCTTTCCAATGTCTTCTAAGGAGGGTTTTATATTGAGAGCTTTCTCATTTGTTTGCAGGTCTCAGCGCATACCTCAGCTGGCAAAACTGTGGTAGCGTTATATGCTATTGCTATGTCTCTGAGGAACCAGCAAAGAGTCATATACACCTCACCAATCAAGGCGTTGAGCAATCAAAAGTACAGGGAGTTCAAAGAAGAGTTCTCTGATGTCGGTCTGATGACGGGAGATGTCACGATCGACCCTAATGCTTCTTGTTTGGTGAGCTGACACCTGATATCCTTTATTGTTTTAATTGTCATGCAATTTGTAAATATGCTTTTGCTTAGGATTGGCCACTAAGCGGGATTTCATTGCAGGTGATGACCACTGAAATCTGGCGTAGTATGCAGTACAAAGGGTCAGAAATTACACGGGAAGTGGCGTGGGTAATTTTTGATGAGGTGCATTACATGCGCGATCGAGAAAGGGGTGTAGTGTGGGAGGAAAGCATTGTTATGGCCCCGAAAAATTCCCGCTTTGTTTTCCTTTCTGCTACTGTACCTAATGCAAAAGAGTTTGCTGATTGGGTTGCCAAGGTGATACTTGCATCTTCAGCTGGTTGTCAACCATCACTATATTACGATTTAGAATTACGGGATTGAATGATCATGTCTGCTCAATTATTCAACAGTCTAGAGAAGTTCTGGCATTGATAATAATTCAAAATGAATCTTAAGATTAGGCTGACTTCTAATAGAAACAACAAAAGTTCCTTCTACAATTTCATTGGAATATATGCTGATAACCATCAGTCAAACTAACTCTAAACCAATTAGAATATCTTAATGGTACTGTTTTAGATATGATTGCTTATCCATATTGATGTTGTTCCAGGTCCACAAACAGCCATGTCACATAGTGTATACTGATTATCGACCGACGCCTCTTCAGCATTATATTTTTCCTGCCGGGGGTGATGGTTTGTACTTGGTGGTGGATGAAAAGGGAAAGTTTAGAGAGGAAAGCTTTCAAAAAGCTCTAAATGCTCTGATTCCCAAGGGTGAAAATGAGAAGAAAAGAGAAAATGGGAAGTGGCAGAAGGGTTTGGTGGTGGGGAAGCTTGGTGAAGAAAGTGACATTTTTAAGATGGTGAAGATGATCATTCAGCGCCAGTATGATCCTGTTATACTCTTCTCTTTCAGCAAAAGAGAATGTGAATTTCTTGCTATGCAGGTACTCCCTCTATTGCTATTCATTACTGCAGTCCTTGTTTATAATGGGATGCTTTTGGTTGCCTTTGAGAAAACCTTTTTAGCATTCTTCAGCTTGTAAAATTGAAGGGACCTTTATTTCATTTTTCTTTTGGTGAAGGTTTTGATTTGAATTCCGGCACCTGAACAGAATGTTGTTTCTGCAATCCTTTGTTCTATTTAGTTTGTTGCTGCAAATTCATTTGTGTGAAATTTGTTGAGTATAACAATTCTAATGCCAGCAAATGTGAGTATATATAAGCAACGGTTCATATAGTAGTTTGTTGCTGTTGATTTTCCTTTTACTCTGCTTCATTAGATGGCAAAGATGGATCTTAATGACGATGATGAGAAAGCAAACATAGAAAACATCTTTTGGAGTGCCATGGACATGCTTTCAGACGATGACAAAAAGCTGCCCCAGGCAAGTTTGCTTCCTTCAACGTGCTTGTGTGGTCCTACCTTTTTGAGATCTCATGTTATATGAACGTACTTTTCATGCTCCATACAGTAGTCTTGGCCATCTTTTGCATTCCTTTTTTGGGGAGAGTGGTTCCTGGAGCCCATATTTCTTTTCTCGGGTTGCTTACTCTTCTCTTTCCATGTCAATACTGAAGTAAGGCTGCATCTAGCGTTTTCTGTTTCTAGTTTGTTTATACTTTTCCTTGTGTTGTTGCAGGTTTCAAATATGCTACCTCTCTTAAAGCGTGGCATTGGCGTGCATCATTCTGGGTTGCTACCTATTCTGAAGGAAGTTATTGAGATTCTATTTCAGGAAGGATTGATCAAGGTTAGAAGATAACACTTCTCTCTATCTATTTTTAGTTATATGCATTTCCGGTGTTTTCAGTAGCGAGAGGATAGGAATGTTCTGGCAGGAAATGATTTATGGTCTGTTGTCATTCCAGTGCATAGCTTTTTTCCCACTCACCATCTTTATGGGCTCTGTTGCCTCCACATATTCAAGTTGCTAGAGGAATTGATGTATTTCTCTTCAGTGTCTATTTGCCACAGAAACCTTCAGCATTGGTTTAAACATGCCTGCAAAAACTGTGGTGTTCACAAATGTTCGGAAGTTTGACGGCGATAAGTTTAGATGGCTATCTAGTGGAGAGTACATACAGATGAGTGGGCGAGCTGGTCGTCGAGGAATTGATGACAGAGGGGTTTGTATTCTTATGGTGGATGAGAAGCTTGAGCCGTCTACTGCCAAGTCAATGGTTAAAGGAAGTGCTGACAGTTTGAACAGGTACTATGGTGCTTCTGAATTTTGATATTGTCTTTGATGTGAAAAATAATAAGAATATGCAGGCTCCCTGCTGCAAAATCTTTCCCCTCATCTAGAAATTTCATCATGACTGTCCCCTGATTCATATGTTGCATTTCTTAAGTGTACTTGTACAGTTTTAACTGTCAAGGGTAGAGAAATCATGGATGCATCTGAAGTTTTAAAACTTGACCTTGCTCTTATTAGCTTAAATTATTTTGCAATTACCTTAAAATCATGAAAAGCAATGGAATACATTTTCAATCTATGTTGACAGTTAGTATTTATGAAATCTTTGTCTTGTTTTTAGTGCATTCCATCTAAGCTACAACATGCTTCTGAATCAAATGCGATGTGAAGATGGGAATCCTGAAAATCTGCTCCGGAATTCTTTCTATCAGTTTCAAGCTGACCGCGCCATTCCTGATCTAGAGGTCAGTTATTTTCATTGAGGATGGAAGTCTTAAACATGTAGAGGCTTGCTAGTATTACGAGGATATTTGTTTCAAGTTGCTTCATATATTCATATTGATAAATGCACATTACACAAGTGTCCGTATGACAATCTGAAATGCTTGACAATTTGCCCTCGTTTAGAAACACCACGTTCTGGTTAGTCATCGGGTCTTAGCAAAGCACGTAAAACTGGCTAGATATAAGGATCAAGGGAATTACTCTGAACGAGAAGGAACCCTGTTTTCTCACTTAATTTGCTTGGAGAAGCAATGCTACAACTATGCAAAGTAAATAAAATTTAGTTATAAAACCAGAATATTTATGATCTGGCTATATTTAAGAGGAAGTTGCATTTAATCGAAAGACCAGACTATCTGCGTGAAACCCAAGGTTGAAGTATGAAAGATTGCGAAAAAATGGTGCTTGTGCAGCAACAAGCCTGCTGTGGTCTTGAGCTGCATTTGATGTAAATCCATCATACTTATCCGGGCATAGCTTATCAGTTGACTATATTTTTTCAATCATCAACATGATGTGCAATGTCTGACAAAATCCTGCAGAAACAAGTGAAATTTCTGGAGGAAGAGAGGGATTCAATCGTCCTAGAAGAAGAAGATAATCTGAAGAACTATTATGATATGATTCAACAATACAAAAGCTTGAAGAAGGACGTTCGTGATATTGTGTTCTCTCCTAAACACTGTTTGCCATATCTTCAATCAGGCAGGCTTATTTCTGTTGAGTGCTCTGTGGTTGATGAGGATTCATCATCTTTCTTGATAGAGGACCGAGTTACATGGGGTATCATCATCAATTTTGAAAGAGTGAAGGGTGTTTCTGAAGGTCGAGTTCTGTTCTTGTCTTGTCCAACTGTTGTTTGGTAATATATAAATCGAGTTTACTCACCGATACCCTTTTTATATCAATGTTATCCAGATGATGCAAGTAAAAAACCAGAACATTCCAAATACACCGTTGATGTTCTTACAAGGTGTTCGGTAAACAAAAGCGGAGTTGCTAAAAAGACTATAAAGATAATTCCATTGAGAGAGCCTGGAGAACCATTGGTTATTTCAGTCCCAATCTCCCAGGTAAAGGCACTTTTGTAATATTATGTTTGATGATTGAGAAAATTTTAAATATCCTTACACTTGATGGCTTTTGTTCTCATACAATATTGTGGTTTGCCAGATTTATAGCTTGAGTAGTGCTCGCTTGTACATGCCAAAAGATCTTTTGCCTCTGGAAGTACGAGAGAACACTCTGAAGCAAGTTGCTGAATTTCTTTCTAGAAACCCTAGTGGATTGCCTCTAGACCCAGAAGGGGATATGAAGGTATACTTCTTGCATTGTTGTGCATATTATTAGATTCCTTCTCTGTTTGAACATTCCATTTTTCTTACAGTGAGATTATAATTTGTTGTTTCTCAGATCCAAAGCAGCTCTTATAGCAAGGCAGTCAGACGCATAGAGGCTTTAGAGCACCTATTTAAAAAGCATGATATTGCGAAGTCTCCCCTTATTGAGCAGAAGCTTAAGGTATTACACACAAAGCAAGGTTTGACATCCAAGATCAAGGCCATCAAGAAAGAAATGCGTACATCCACTTCGTTGGCTTTTAAAGATGAGCTGAAAGCTAGAAGACGGGTTCTTCGTAGACTGGGGTAAATAAGTCTGCCTTTTATCCTTATATTGCTTATACTAATAAAGATGGGTCGGGATTGTCTGATGTGTGTGTTGGGGAATTTGGTATCATCTGTATGAATTTCGACACAAATTTGGAGATTGGCAATTTGAACAAAAAGTGGTAATGGTGTGCCCGAATTGTTATCAGAGTCACGTGAGCTTTGGTGGCACGTGGGAATACGAAATTTATTGAATCACTGAAATGGTGGCATCCGTGAAACCCTTAACCTTGCTTTCTTTGGATTTGGTTGCAGATATGCTACCCGTGATGATGTTGTAGAGTTGAAAGGAAAAGTGGCAGGTGAAATTAGTAGTGCGGATGAATTGGTATTAACTGAACTAATGTTCAATGGGGTTTTAAAGGATGCCACAGTTGAACAGATGGTGGCTCTTCTCTCTTGTTTTGTTTGGCAAGAGAAACTCAAAGATGCTGCCAAACCCAGGGAAGAACTTGACTTGCTGTTTTTGCAGTTGCAAGAGACAGCTCGAAGAGTGGCCAAACTGCAGCTTGAGTGCAAGGTAACTGCACTTGACTTTTGCTTGATGTTCAAATTGGTTCCAGATATGGCTCTAGTAGTAACTCTTCCAGACACTGACCTCCTTTTCATGCGTTTGTTAATGATGACAGGTGGAAATTGATATAGAGAATTTTGTGGGCTCTTTCAGGCCCGATATCATGGAAGCCGTTTATGCTTGGGCCAAAGGTTCTAAATTCTATGAGATCATGGAGATCACACAGGTATTTGAAGGTAGTTTGATCAGAGCTATTAGGAGATTGGAGGAAGTGCTTCAACAGCTTATAGAAGCTGCAAAGTCCATTGGTGAAATAGAACTGGAGGCGAAATTTGAAGAAGCCGTTTCCAAAATCAAGAGAGACATTGTATTTGCCGCATCGCTCTACTTGTAGTTATCCTTTATTCTGATGGTTTCACGATGGTCAAGTGCAAATGAGGTGACATATTAAACCCTGGGAGCCAAAGTTTCCTGCTTTGAGGGTGGAGAAAGAATCTGTAATGAAAGGGACGGATGCTGTTGCTTGCATTGCATGATAGAGCTGAAGAGGAAAATGAAAAGCATTGCTTCCTATTCCATCTATATGATCTGCTGCGGGAAACATGAGCTTCTCGGCCATACCCTCTATCTGCCAAACAACTAGTGATCTCCAAGAAGAACGGTCAGTAGATTCTGAAGGTTTAAGGTATGGTTTTCGTCTGCTATAGAATGGTGGATTTGATATCTATCATGCTTTTAGAAGTCATATATATAAGGCCTTATCCTAAGCATTTTGTATTTCCCTTTGTCTTTATGTAATTTAGGGGTAGTGCACCAACTTTGCTTTCAGAAACCACTTGTAGTAGTCAAATGATACGCCATGGACACCGAGTGATGATCTGAATGAAATTATACTTCATAGGTGCTAATTTTGCTTCTCGTATTGATTGAGCCTTTCTCTGACTCCCACATTTTGTTATTGCAATCAACTTTATTATGTAGCCTGTATTTCATACACATCTGCCATTACATATATGAAATCAGAGCTTCTTTCTAGTGTACAATGAACGATAATACCAAACAAGAGGAGTTGACAGAAGGATAGCAGAACACAATAAACTAGCTCCTCTGGCTCTGCTCATATCATGTGAACTTCCTGAATCCGAAAACAGGGGAGGAAGCAACCAAATAAATTGGCACCAAACTTCGCTACAGAAGTAAAGAAACCACCAGCTGACTTTCTCTCCAGTTTTGTTGATGATGTCTGCTGCGCAAGCGCAACGTTAGCAGGCACTCCATAGACAGGCTGTGGATCCATGTACTGCTGATAAGAAGATGACGGCAGAGTGTTCTCAGTGGGGCAACTCTGAATTGCTTCCACTGTGATCTCTTCAGACGTGAAGCGGCTGGTATGGGTTTGATACGAGAACTGGGAAACGTTTTGTTGTTGCATAAGAGGAGAAGTCTCGAGCCATGCTGGCAACGGAGGAGCCGATGGCTGCGGCGGCGGTGGAGGGGGAGGGATGGAGTATGAGTAGCAGCAATGGCAGGTGGAGTTGAGGTGGTAGTAAGAAGGATCGTGTTGATACACTGACGCCTTCTTCTTTCTCTTCTTTCTTGGCCAGAACTTCTTGAGCTTCTTCACAGCTTTGATCATGAGGATGCCCTGCTGCTGCTTGTCTTGCTTAGAACTCGTAGCTGCAGAATGATTGTTATGTATTCGTTGTGGTAAGGGAATGAAGGAGCGGGTAGAAAGTTAAGGAAAGAAAAGGAGACGGGAACAACTTTTCTCAGCCCCCTTGCGTTTTTCTTCTTCTTTCTTTGCTACTTTTGGCTTTTCCTGATTTTACACTTTTTTAAATCTAGTGACCGTTGCTCATCCACTGAACCGACAGTTTGGTTAGGGGTCAATTATGAGCAGTAATCGAATTAGGGTCACTAACTTTCATTTTTCACAGTAATTTTCAGAGCAGTTTGAACGGACACACATTTTGCCCGTTTCATCATGTTTTCGTCCAAATCCTACAAGTGGAACGAATGTAATAACCCAGCAAGTTAACAAAATATCTACCTATCCAATGACTTGTGCATTTCGAACGGAAAATAGGGTGAAATGGCTATAGCGTGTAGTTCGACTTCGTTGACAAATTGGCTACAAATACATTGCGGCGAAGTATTTGTTAGACAGGTCAAAGTTTCATGGCTGTTTATATGATTCATCCGTTGCTTTGTTCTGTTACTGAGCGTTGTAACGCAGCCCCAGTCATCAGATGGATACTAGTTCAATTTGGAGGCGAGGTGCGGTACTGATCATGGTTATAGAAGGGGAAAGATAGAATCGTTGCATGAGTATGACTAGGGACGGTTGCTCGTCGAATGATGCTGAGGTCGTCGGCTGATTCCAATCGGTTTGTAGTACAGTTGGTCTCGTGTTTGCCGAGCTTGTAAGCAGGTTCACAATCACATCAACCTGCATATCCATCAAGACTTCTAAACGTTGCAGGTGGTTCTGAAACATGTACCATATCTTGCTTAAGGGAATCAACAGCAGTAGGGGCAGTCACGTTCCAACGAAACGTCGCTTGTTTGTAAGGAGGTGAGGGGTAGTATGCCGTGCAACCGAAGAGCTTCCTGTGGTACCCTCATCAGACAATACCTTCGGGGAAGCTGGTTGCAGCCAGTTGGCAAGTGGAACGCGCAGAAAACCCCTTCAGCTGAAACTACATAACCCAGATGTTCCACCATAGACTCCTCAAATGGACATTTAGACAGCTCAGGCTTAGCATGCAACTGATGTTATCATAGCAACACAATGGTGAGCTGTTTTCATTGTTGCAATTGGATAGGATTGACACCGATAAGGGGCAACCACTGTGTTTCATGAGGGACTGAAAGGTGGCAGGGGCATCTGTGAGACTTTGAGGCTGAAAGGCATCAGACTGAACTCATCGTTAATGAGTTTGTAAGGCATTTTTGTGTTCATCGACTAGACACATATACATCCGTATCTACGATCAAGCTTAGAGATACAAATTTAGAACCATGTAGCTCATCTACAAGATCATCACTGATGAGTACACTTCTATCCATATTTTGTCCACAAGGAAAAAAGAAGGAAACATGAACACTGGTAAAACACATTGACACTATATGTTCCTTTTTACAAGAACCTCTAAATGTATGTACTTGCACAAGTTCTGACTTTGTCAATCATAGTATACCTCGCACGATTCTGAGCGACCAAACAGATTGTACCGGTTGTTTGCCACATTGTCATACACAAAATCTCTCACGAACCTGCAATGCACACACCAGAAGAACAATCAGAATCATAATCTGCAGTGCAGCTTGAAGATGATGGGGAAATTTAACAAACTTACAGTGGCACAAACTGTAGAAAGAATGCTAGCTGTGGGAAAGGCAAGTCTATGTATTCCATTATCTTCATCACAGCCTCAGACTTCACATATGATCTGATGGAAGTTCACTAGACATTATCAGAATTCTCATCGAATTCACGTAAAAGATAATCTGAAAAGACTGGTTTTCAACACACATTACCTATCCTTTTCAACAAGCACCACACTGGAGATATCATCTGGAGCTCTTCCTGATCTCCTCAGAAGATTCATCCCTGACTCGCTCTGGAGAGCCTCATACCTAATTCTCCTGTTTTGATCGTTTTGACGAACAAATCGCACACCTCCATTGCAAAGGTTGCACACTCCTGTGGGAAACACAAAACAGAGCTTCTAAACTAAACCAATCCAATCTTTTCACATTCAGAAAAAGAAACATACAGCTATGATCTCAGGAAACGGGAGTTTTCTTTCTCTTTTACCGTCGAATAACATGATGGGTCGGGAATCCTTCTCGAAAACGCTGTTGGTTGCTTCGACCCAGTTCACAGTTTCTCCTCGAGAAGGAGACAGAGCAGCGGAAGTAGCGAATCTCCGGCCAACTTGCATGATGGCCGACGGCCGGCGGAGAGGGCCGCAGCCGCTGATGGGAGCAAGCAGAGACATGGAGAGGAAGAGAAAGAGCAATCACAGAATTAGATTGCTGCAGGTGCTGTAATGGAGGAAATGGCACCTGAGAAAGAAAGACAAGATTTTTAAAAGAGAAATCTTTTTCAATTTCCACAAAAGAAAACTCTTCCTCTTTAAATTACAGGTAGCCCCTTGTTCTGCCTTGCTAAAAGAACTCCGTTCTAATAGTGGTGGCATTTTCTGTAATTGATGCAAGGGAAAGGGCTAAAAGTCAGAGCTTCCATTGTGTCGTTTGAAAAAAATAGGTATGCGACCGCGTGGGTACTCGAAGTACCACAAACGTTCTTCTGCCGCTTCTTCCTTCCGGAAAGGTTTCGTCTTTTTTGGCGCCAGTTTCATTCCAATCAGTGTGGTGGAGGCTGGAGCTTTGTGTTCTTTCTTGGAACTTATGAGGGATTTGGAAGCCGCAGCTGTATAGCGAACTGAAGGTGCTCGAGCTCGCTGGCTGTTTTTCCCTATGTCTAAAACCCTGCTCTCTCACATTAGACCGCTTCACCACCCGAAACCCATTCAGCGATCTTCTTCTCCGCTTCCATTGACGAGCAACTTCAGAATCCTAGTCTACGATGTGCTGCGAATCCTCAAAACAGAGCAACGATGGGAGGAGTCCCTTGATTCCCTCTTCGTGTCGACGGAAACCGAAGTTTCGGAGGTAGCACACTTCGTGTTCGATAAAATTCGTGAACCAGACTTGGGTTTGAAGTTCTTTGATTGGGCATCGGCGAAGTCGGATTGTGGTGGCTTTACTTTTAATGGGTCCGCTTGTTCTTCGCTTCTGAAACTACTATCACGGTTTCGGTTGTTTGACGAGGTGGAGAGTTTGTTGGAGACTATGAAATGTAAAGGCTTGACCCCTACCCGTGAAGCATTGAGTGTTGCTATACAAGCATATGCGGAGGCTGGGCTGGTCGATAGGGCTCTTGTACATTACAATGCTGCATCAGGTGTTTATAATTCTTTCCCTGATGTTATTGCTTGCAATTCATTGCTAAATGCATTAGTGAAAAGTCATAAGCTCGACATTGCACGTCGAATTTATCATGACATGGTTCAGAGAGATGATTTTGTGGACAACTATAGTGTTGGTATTCTAGTAAGGGGCTTGTGTAAGGAAGGGAAGGTCGAGGAAGCTAAGAAGTTGATGGAACAAAGCTGGGGCAAGGGTTGCGTCCCACATATTGTGTTTTATAACATCATGATTGATGGGTACTGCAAAAACGGTGATAGTGGGAAGGCCATTAAGCTTTTCAGAGAGTTGGAATTGAAGGGCTTTTTGCCTACCTTGGAGACATATGGAGCTCTGATTAGTGGACTCTGTAAGGAAGGAGATTTCGAGGAAATTGATAAGCTATTGGTAGAAATGAAAGAGAGGGGCTTGAATGCTAATGTTCGGCTGCTTAACAATATCCTAGATGCCAGAATCAAACATAATCATAAGACTGAGGCATCAAAGACAATCCGTTGGATGATCGACAATGGTCGTGAGCCAGACATAGTGACTTATAACTGTTTGATCAGTGGTTCAAGTAGGGATGGGAAGTTGCAAGAAGCCGAGGAACTTCTACAAGAAGCTATCAAGAAAGGACTCGAGCCAACCCTTACTACGTATACCTCTCTTGTACATATTTACTCTCAACAAGGGAATTTTGTTAAGGCTTCAGACCTGCTGATTGAGATGACAAAGAAAGGCCATACACCTGATTTGGTTGCTTACGGAGCTCTGATTCATGGGCTGGTTTCCACCGGGGAGGTGGATGTTGCCTTGGTAGTTCAAGATACTATGAGGGCAAAGGGAATTGTCCCTGACATGACTGTCTACAATATTCTGCTAAGTGGTCTTTGCAAGAAAGGAAGGCTTCCTGCAGCAAAGATTCTGCTGGCCGAGATGCTCGAAAAAAATTTATCCCCTGATGCTTTTGTCAATGCCACTTTGGTTGATGGGTTCATTAGAAATGGCAAACTTGAGGAGGCCAGAAGAATCTTCGAGCTCACAGCTTCGAAGGGTATTGATCCTGGCATTGTTGGGTATAATGCTATGGTTAAGGGTTATTGCAAATTTGGATTGATGAATGATGCAATGTTGTTTCTTAAAAAAATGATGAGAGGTGATCATACTCCAGATCAATTCACGTACTCAACCATCATAGATGGGTACATAAAGCAGAATGACTTGCATGGTGCACTCAGGATCTTTGGCCAGATGTTGAAAAGGAGATGCAAACCAAATGTTGTCACATACACTTCTCTAATAAACGGTTTTTGCAGAAGTGGAGAGTCCGATACAGCTGAAACAACTTTCGCTGAGATGGAATCATGTGGCTTAGAGCCAAATGTAGTTACTTACACCACACTCATCGGATCCTTCTTTAAGGACGGTAAGCTCAGAAAAGCTTGCTTGTATTTTGATCGAATGTTGTTTCATAAGTGTGTCCCGAATGATTTTACTTTCAATTATCTGGTAAATGGGTTATCACATAATGTGGCCGCATTAAGAGCTGGGGAATGCCAGTTACCAGTTGGTGAAGAAAGCCCTCTCTGTCAGCAGGTTTTTGGGTGCATGATATCGGATGGATGGGAGCCCAGAGCTGCTGCTTATAGCTCTGTCATATTCTGTCTCTGCCGATACAGAATGGTTGATACTGCAATATACCTGTGTGACAGGATGAGGATTAAGGGGTTTGTTCCAGATCCTGTCTCTTTCATTGCCATGCTACATGGACTTTCCTTGGAAAGAAGATTACCAGAGTGGAAGACATCAATACCTTTCAGTATAAGTGAAAAGGAAGTACGAACAGCCATCATGTACTCTCAGAAACTGAACCGATTCCTACCAACAGGATTCATGGCAGACGCTTTGCATATTTTGTACAATTCCTTGGAAGAAGATCCAGCTCTATATTCACAGGGTTAGGTCTCGCCGAGATACAAGATTTTGTCCCGACAACCAGAAGCTGCGCTAACAATCTGGGCCACACTTGAAGGGATCAAAACTCCAGATATCTTCATCCCATACCTCCAACTTGTGCACTAGCTGAGTTTCATTGAGGAATCCGTGGCATATACTTCTGTGCTTGTAAATTAACTCTATCCAGCTTATGTGCTTGGTCGTGCTGGGTCACCTCTAGCAAGTGGTGCTGGACTTTGATTTTCCCACCAAAGAAATTCACAAGTAACGAAACTCATAAGCAGACAAAGGATTCTCTTGTAAGGTATCCATCAAGATGAGTTCCTTATTGCTATTCCCAATCTGTTAATAGTTGCTGTCTGCAATTCTAATGTATTTACACCCCTCCCTGATTTCTTTCAAGTTGCAGGCACTGCAGCTGAAATTGAAGTAAAGATCTCCCCGGGAGAGAAAAAAAGGCGCTCCTGTTTTTGTTTTCCTTTATTATTTCAGCCATGGCGGCACAACTTCGTCCAGAGTAACTACATCAAATGGCCTAAGTCTCAACCATGGTGCTGCACAAGAGCGATAACCAACAACAGCTGAATCCCTGGGCAAACGGAATGGCGTAATTGATGGATTCATTTCTCTCCATTAGCCAACTGGAAAAGATGAACCGTTTTTGTTAAATAGTTCAGGGGTATGCTCTGTGAGCAATTGTAATGTAATACTTGTGGATTGTACAAGTTTCCAGTTTCACTTCGAATTGCACCAGAAATTACTCCTGGATGCAATTTATCGAGCACAAGTATACTCTTTCAGTAAAACGCAAGAAGTTTCTGAATAGATGATAGAACAAATGTTCAGAAAGTCGACAATTCCGCTGTAATATGAAACAGTTTGCAGTTACATGTTAAAAGTAAATGAAGTACAGTGAGTACAAAATTCCCTGGATAGTGATCCTTTTCTGATCCCATTAATCATCGTACAATCCACCAGTAAACCCAAGTATCTTGTCTTGTCTATATGAACATCAGCAAGCATAATGAAACAGAATGAAGGACTAAAATCATCAATCAAGATTAATCACAATTTAGATTCGCAAAAGCAGTCAGGCAAGGCAGACCCTCTTCCAATCACAAAGTCTTCTTTATGAGCCGACCACAAGGCTTCCATCAACTCATTCCCTTTCAGTCCCCGAAAGGTCAGTTCAGAAAAGGCCTTACGGCTTAAAAACAGAGTTTTATACAACCCTTTATATGCTCGCATCGCAGCAACCATCTTATCCATATTCCCAAAATATGTGGCCACATACGAATCACTGTTAATGGAGACATAGTAATCGAGGGCAGCCTTCGTGTTCCCGTGCATGTTTGTAAAATCCTGATCATCAAGAAGAGCAGATTTGGTGAATACGTTTGTGTAAACAGAACGCAGCCCGTCAAGTTCCATGAGACCATCCCCAGCCGCGAGATATATACTCGTGTTTGTAGGGATGGACAGCGCCTGCATTATCAAGGCTGTCTCATTAGGAGTAAGAGGGCACTTCCCTCGTTTTCTCCAAACATTAGCCAATTCTCCAGTCCAAGGTTTTCTATCATCTCGAACTGCTTCAATCGCTTCCATGGAGGAAGAAGAGAGGCCGGAGTATTCACATTGGCTGTATGCTACCATGTCGGGTTCGAAGCGCAGGTGTAGCGAGAGGAATGGTTTTGGTATAGCTTTGAAAAGTTCCTGAGCTTTGTCTTCCAATGATCTGGCCAGGCGTAATGCACTATAACAAGCTTGGCATAATGCAGCTTTAGCATATAGAGGATACCTATTGAAAAAGGAATGCACACAATAATTCACATATAGGTCATTTGGTTTCATGCATTAGGGGATGTGATGCATGAACTCAGCACATACGGCTGAGAAGAGTTCATCAAGGTGTGCAAGGACAATATTATAAAAGATATATCAATGAAAACAAGCATACCTGTCCCTCCTTTGGCTCATAGCTGGTGTAATTGATATAAAACGGTGTTCCAGTAGAGGTGGAAGCACACTCTCTATGTAATCAAATTGGCCTTTGCGTTTGCTACAATCAACAGGAAATGGCTCTTTTGAAGCTAGTTCGGGTGGCAATTCTTTGACAATTTTAGCAAAACTAGTCATTTGCTGAATGAAGTAATCAACATCAAATACATCTGCAAAACCACTGTCACCAACACAGAGTGGTTATAAGAGTCTATGGAATACACAACCCATTAACTGCAGTTACAATCCTCTATAGTCTATATATAGTCATTACCCTGCCAAGCTATAAAGTCATTACTTCACATCAAACTTAGTAGAGCCCTTCTATACCAAGAATAAACAGACTGAATAGAGAAGCAGCAGACCATGCTAATTTCTAACTAATCATAGTCAGTCATTTACAAGCTCTAAACACTGATTTTTTGGGTATTCTATAGCCAGTTAACATGCTGATTAGAATACGATGTATGGCTTATTTAGAACTATTTTTTACTCCGCAAAATCAAGCATTTGTAAAATATGACGACTATGGTTTTTGGAACCCAAATTGGCGTGAAACAAAGTCAAAATATTCAAACTTATCACAGGTCAACGGAAAGATGACACTCTCCAACTAGGCAATTGCCCAAATGTAATCACTAAGTTCAACTGTCTATCAGCTTTGGTTTCCGAAGATATGCTAAGCAACAAGACTCAACAGTACTTTCCCAATTACAATAGTATGGTCGTAGAAAATGGGGAAGAAAATCACATAAACAATTCAATTATTACCTTGACTCATTCCAATATGCAGCTGCCTCAAACTTTGGCAAAACAAGAGTTGCATTTAACAAGCGGGCAATGCCAACTCCATTACAGAACTGCAACAGCAACAAGAACACACACCATTTACCCGCAAGCAAAAAGAACCAAGCCCCTTAATCGCATGTGTAAAACAGGTCAGTGAACTTACATCTCTTCTCATCTGATTGAGACCACCATAGCAATCCACTTGAATGTATCCATTATTCTCAGTTGGTGGAGCTGCAGGATTTCAACAAAAAAAAAAAAAAAAACCAATGCAGTCGTCTGCAATGAAAGTCAGTATCAACTTGACCCAGGATAGAAAAGAGATAACGGCAGTAAATCTGCTTTAACCGCCTTCTTTGACAGTACCCCATTCCATTTCTTAGTCACTAACTTAAACTACATAGCTACTAGTTAATCGCCCCAAAACAATCGACAACGAAAAGTTCCAGTCTTTCTTCAGACCCACAATTGAAAGGAAACTGAAAACGTACCATTAAGGTGACCCTGAATCCACCACTTGCAAGGCCTCCATTCCACAAGTCTCTGGACACCCCATATCTCCAATCTCACCCTGAGCGACAGCAGCCAGCGGAAACATGAACACACGAAATGTACATATACTTCTGCAAGAAAAGGGAACTGTACTTACGTTGAGGAGTCGGTGGAAAATGGATTCGCGGGGAATGTAGGGGAAGGAGAGAGCAAAACGATGGCGGCGACGAGGGAGAGAGTGAAGATGGTAATGAACAATGGCTTCACAGAAACCGCGATCATTTGACGGAATTCAGATCTTGATTTGGAGATTGGATTGGATTGGATTGAAGGCGCGGATTAGCAAACGGAATCAGAAGCTACACACAGAATCTAACTGGACAGAGAAGGTAGTGGCGATGTTAGGGTTAGCTTGCGGGATCCAATCAAGAAAGAAATTGAGAGAATTGGGCAAGTGCAAAGACGGTGCTACGCAGTTAGACAAGCAAGAGAGAGACTGAAATCTGTCTTAAGATCTGATAAGTTCGTTAATGTTCGATTCTGACTTCATTAGAAAAGGCTGACCGTGAAATCGGGTATAAATTCCATCCAGATTGGGTTGGTTGTTGGGTCGGGCTTAGTTCGGTTTTGGTTGGATTTCTTTCTGGCTAATTAGTGGGTTTGGACTTTGGACAATTGTTGTATGAAGAAATGGTGGAATGGAATCTGTCTAAATTAGTAAATCTTGAAACGGGTTAATTGCAATCACTGTGATTATAAAAAACTTCATGTTTGGTTAGTAAAATCATCCAAGTTTGGTCACTCTCTGTTAGTTTTCGTCCGTCTCCGTTAACCAAGACTGTTATGTGCTGAGGTGGCAGACAGAATCGCCTAATCAATCTAATTTAACCCAAAAATAGTTAAATCTGATCCGCCATGTCACCTTAACCGCACATATCATTTTGTCTATCCCATCCCAACCCAACCCTTGAACCAAACCGACCTACCTATTCATGAACCGACCACTCAAACAAAATAAGAGTTCATCCCTTTTTCCTTTCCAGATCTGAACTCTAGTTCCTCGTTTTTTTTGCATTCCCTTTGTCAACCAGATCTGAATGGAGCTTGAATGGGTCGCCGCAACAATCGCATCCCCCCCCCCAACTTTTATCTCTCTCGCCTACTCCTCCTCCTCCACTCCGTTACGGATTCCTACTGTTTGTTAATCACTGCGCCAGCCAGCCTAGAAGTTATGCTTCACTGCTCACTCAGCTGTCGTGTGGAGTCGACCTCGAATCCCCACTTCCAATTTTTGAAACCTCTCTGTTGCCTCACGCCAATTGAGAAACAAAGAAAGAAAAAGCCTTCCTCTTTCTGCCCTCCTCTCTTCTTTATTTCCTCCTTTTGGTACTCTCCACCTCAGTCGCCGATCTAGATCTAGGCAAGAAGACAGTGGTGGTGGGAAATAAAGAAAAGATGGAGGGGAGATGGGACCCAGGCAAGAAGACGGCGGTGGCGGTGCTGATCTGTCTGTCTGCTAGGGATGGCAATGGGGCGGGTTTGCCTAAACCATCCTCATCCCCATCTTCAAATACCCAAACTCATACCCGCCCCATACCCATGCGGGGGAATGTTTTGCAAACCCATCCCCATATCCGTGGGTTTCGGGTACCCATGGGTAATACCCATCCCCGTACATCCAACATTATTATACCTAAAACTTACAAGAAAAGTGTTAATTATAACCATAAACAAACCTATTATATCATGAAGTTAACAAAAACACGGGCATTTTCTAAATACGATTCAAAGAATATGATCCTAAAACATCCATTAATACATAATATAGACTACAATATTTTTTAAATTATTAAGCTCTAACTCTTTATACATTTACTAAGTAATAATTAACTAACATAATCTTGTTGACAAAGGGGAAAGTGAAAGAGTGGAAGGAGAACTGAGGGAAATGAATTAGGTTTGGATTAAGGTTGTTACTCAATTGCATTTCTACTATTTATTTTCTCGAGTTATCATCATCATTGATAGATTACAATTTAATCTACATATTTTTTGATATGTGAAGAAATTCTCTTGGTGGGGCGGGTATGGGTATGGGTATGGAGCGGGGGAGGCTAAAACCATACCCGCCCCATACCCATCAAGCTTTTTGCGGGTTTTACCCATACCCGCCCCATACCCGGTCAAAGCGGGGATTCCCCGCGTTGACTGGGTCGGGGGCGGTCGGGTACCCGCGGCCATGGGTTTGATTGCCATCCCTACTGCCTGCCGCAGCGTCCCACCGGCGGGGAGCGGCGGGGGTGATCTAGCTGGCTTCCGATGTGTCGTGATCGTAGTAATAATACAGGGAGTGTTCGATTCTGGATTGGATTTTTCAGTTTTGATTTCGATTGATAGCTACAGCTCTGAACTAGTGTTTCGCTTTCTAGAGAGGGAAAGCAAACCGCGTATGAAGAGAGAGAGAGGGGAGATTCGTGCAGACAAGAAACAAAACAGAGAGAGAGAGAGAAGATTTCTTTAATAAAAAAAAATTTAGGTTAATTTGCACGAGAAGTTAAGATATGATCAAATGAGGGTCGGTTTGGTTGTTGAACTGGGTTGGGTTAGGTTATATAGTAGTCTAACGTGGCGGGTCGGATAATATGATGTGACAGGTTAAACTGGGTGACCAGACATATATGTTAGCCACGTCAGCAGAAAACTGACGCCGTTAACGGAGACGAACGAAGACTAACGGAGAGTGACTAAACTTGGACGGTTTTACTAATTTTAGTGACCACGAATGGATTTAAATATTTCGAGTGACCAAACATGAACGGTTTTTGTAATCACAGTGACCAATCATACAATTAACCTAGGGATAAACTAGAGAATGAATCGGGTGTTTAGATGGAAAGTTGATTGCAAGAAAAATAGTGGGCTAATTTATAGGGTTAGCATCATGTTAACTTCATTAATGACTTCTCTTAAAAAAAAGTTCTTTGATGATTGTCAATTATTTTTAATTGAATCTGGCAGTAGAATGTAGTGGAGGGCATGCTAGGTATTTCAGAAAATTATTTTTAATTGAACATTTCTCTTCTTGCCAGTTGCCACCTTCATCCCTAACTGCATGACTTTTGCTTCAGTCGAATCAGGTGGCCATCTTATTTTTGTTCTTTTTACAGTCCTGAATAAGAAACCACATTCTCATACTCTTATAACCACCCCAATCTCGTTCCTTGACCATTCAAGATTGTTGCATCTACATTAATCACGTAGATTGCAGGCCGCGACTTTTCCCAGTGATATTGTCTTGGCAGTTTGGTGTCTGGCTTTCTCTTATATAAACCAAGTAATATATGTTTCTTCTATTTTCTTCTTGTTTCACATCTGAGCATTAATTTCCTCGCAGATAAACCACAAGGCTGTCGCAAATTGCCCAGTCCTTTCACTCGTCCTCGTCTCCTATAACTCACAAATCCAATCTTCATAGGTACAATTTTCTCCTTTCTCAAACATGTCTCAGTGTCTCACAGCTCACTCGCCCTCCAGACTCTTACCCATCCACAGTCTCTAATGGATGCTCTTGAGTCTCAACTAACTCCCAAAACGAACACTCATCGCATCTTTTGTTCGTCTTCTTTATGATGTTATGTCTTGTGGGTAGTGGGTTTCTTATTCATCTCCAAGTGAACACTTTAACCTTAAGGGGTATCTGGAGATTCCAGATTCTATCCCAGGCTATTGGTTCTTTCAACTTCTTTTCTCTTGTGGGATAATACTTTACTTTAGCACCTTGACACACCAATGAATTAGGATTCTCAATCATATTTCATATCTGCTTGTTTTTTAAAGATGCAATTCACGAAAATACATGTCTCCTTCCTCCGGAAAAAATCCCAAGTTACACATGTTTTTAAAAAAAATTCTCAAAATACAAACGTTATGAAAATAATTCCCAATCTACGTTAGTTTGGGCCATCACCGCTGTCGACGAAGACAGTGATTGCATCACTGTTGTCGACGAAGACAGTGATTGCATCACCGCTGCCGACGAAGACAGTGATTGCATCACTGCAGTACACGGCCGCGGTGAAGGCCCGACCTGCGTCGAAACTTTAAACAAACGTAATTTTGTGCTCGGTTATCCGATCGTAGCGAAATTTTTTTTGATTCCGCATAATTTTTCGAGATCTTGCAAGCCGCAAATTGCCGTAGGCGGTCTGGTCCCGCCTTCGTCTCGAAAATATGTCGTTTGCTACTTCGAACGAGCCTTTTTTCGATTTCGTCAAACTTTGAACGACCATAACTTTGTGCTCCACAATCCGAAAATCATGAATTTTTTTTTTATTTCGCATAAATTTTTAAGGACTACAATATTTAGTAGGAGAGAATTTTCAAAAAATGAATTATTTATGGATATAAGGGATTTTGGGAATAACTTTACCTTCCTTTTCAGGAATCCAAGTACATTCCGAAAATATGTCTATGATAAAAATTGTAGTCCTTAAAAAGTTATGCGAAATAAAAAAAAATTCATGATTTTCGGATTGTGGAGCACAAAGTTATGGTCGTTCAAAGTTTGACGAAATCGAAAAAAGGCTCGTTCGGGGTAGCAAACGACATATTTTCGAGACGAAGGCGGGACCAAACCGCCTACGGTAATTTGCGGCTTGCAAGATCTCGAAAAATTATGCGGAATCAAAAAAAATTTCGCTACGATCGGATAACCGAGCACAAAGTTACGTTTGTTTAAAGTTTCGACGCAGGTCAGGCCTTCACCGCGGCCGTGTACTGCAGTGATGCAATCACTGTCTTCGTCGACAGCGGTGATGCAATCACTGTCTTCGTCGACAGCGGTGATGCAATCACTGTCTTCGTCGACAGCGGTGATGGCCCAAACTAACGTAGATTGGGAATTATTTTCATAACGTTTGTATTTTGAGAATTTTTTTTAAAAACATGTGTAATTTGGGATTTTTTCCCCTTCCTCCCTTCTTCTTCTTTCTTTTTCTTTTGGCATGTTTTTCTCACTTAAGCTAGTGTGCCCTACGCACCTTGTATGACTAACTACAGAAATGGTGAAGAAAGAAGATGGAAGAAGAAAACAACTAATCCTCTAATTAAATGATCATTTCCTTAATTTAACTATTAGATCTATTAGACCTGGTAATCAGGTCGGGTTGTGTAATTTCGGGTTTGAGACTTCGGTTACGGGTCGGGTCATGTTTGGTTGGCTTATTTCTGGACCAATATGGACCCAACTCATTCGGTTTCGGATCGGGTTTCGGGTCATTTCGGGTTACGAGCGTTCTCAGAAACAATATCAAACATGCTTCATATTTTCTTAAGAAGCACAAATTTTCACATATGCACGACAATAGTTTACCAAACACATGTCAATTAACATATTCTCAAATACTCCCACGCTAATGAAATGAAATACAAATTGTGCAAATCGTCAAAAAATAATCACAAGAGTAATACTACTACAAGAAAGACATGATATTTGATTATCCTTAAACTTCAAACAAGTTATTCAAATCCTTGTGTTTTTTTTAAATATCTCACCAATTTATGAGTGATTTTATCATATTTTGGGAGTGATATATATTTGGAACGGGTCTAATGGGTCGACCCGCTAACCCACCAAACCCGACCCAAAAAATCACAGGTAATGGGGTTCGGGTCATTCGGATTTCGGGTAACAAAAATTTCTAGTTTTCGGGTGGTTTCGGGTCGGGTCAACGGATCGGGCTGTAATTTGCCAGGTCTAAGATCTATTAACTTTTATCTAAGAGTTAAAGGCAATTTAGTCTTCATTAAGCATCCTCTTAATTATAGGATGTGCTTCCATATTTCGCTGTGTTATGAAAACCGGGCCGGATCGGCCGGTCCGACCGGAAAAACTCGGACTCGGCCATAGATCCGGTCTCGGCAGCATAAAAGCGGGTGGGCTTGCGGAAAAGACACTGCCGCCTGGCTTTAGGAATTTCAGTTATTTAATAATTAAAAAACAAAAGAATGAAGGCAACAGATAAGTAGGAAGTGACTAGAGGTGGCAATTAGGATCCAAATCAACGAATCCAATCCAATCCATCCGCCAAATTATCCACCTAATCCAATCCATTTAAATCCAATCCATTTTATCCAAATCCAATTGGATTGGTGGATTCATGGATCAATCCATGGATCCAAATGGCAAATTACGATTTGGTACCTATATTTTTTATACATTACATTTTGGTACCTAAAATTTATATTTTTATACAAAAATTACATTGGAAAATTACATTTTGGTACCTAAAATTTTTCATCGTGACATTTTAGTACCTAAACTTTTCAAAATCTACATTTTGGTCCAAGCCTTGGATGTCATTTGGATTTATGGATCAATCCACCAATCCATTTGATCCAATCCATGAATCCACCAATCCATTGGATCCAATCCATTTGATCCATTGATCCACCAATCCAATCCACAAATTCACGAATCCGATCCAATTGCCACCTCTAGAAGTGACGACTAATTTCCTACATTCACTTACCTTTTCAGTATTTGACTTTATTTTTTTATTCTTACTCTATTCTTCTTTCTTTTTATCTATAGCAAGCATCGGTTTGTAACCGGTTTTTAATACCGGTTAATAAACGGTTGTACGATAAACCTTGAACCTCTTGTATATCCGGAACGATGTCCGGTTTGATTTTGACAACGCTAATATTTCGTGATTAAAAATTAATCTTTGATTATATATTGACTTCATCGATAGGAAATGAGTCAATTCAAATCAGTCCATTTGCTTAAGCCCCGGAAATGATCAATCCGACATGAGCTACTTGAACTCACAACAAATTATCGGATAGATGATAAGTCGGAAATTACTATGATTCATCCGTTTGACACCAAATAAAACCTTATACTAGTCTGGCTTTTTGTGTACGTTTTTCCAATCTGGTTTAAGTTTTATATGATTTTGCAAACCCAGCGAGAAGTCAAAGACTAATCGGACTTTTCCTCTTCATGAATTACGACCACTGGCCAATGACAAAGTGACACGATAAGATTCGTTTGCTCATTCACAAGAGGATAAAATGCGTCCTCTGTCTCTGCGCCATTGACAGAAGCTCGCCACAAAAGCCAACACCATTCCATACCACCATCCACTTCCTTCCACGATCACTCTTCCTCTAGCTTCCTCCTCCTCCCCCCCCATATAATCCACCAATCCATTACCAAGTCCCCGCCTTTCTACGTTTCTTATCTGAATCCCACATCACAGTTCTTTAAGGAAATGGCAGAGCAAGAAACAGAGCAGCAGCAATTGATCTTGATTCCATTCCCAGCCGCCGGCCACCTCGCATCAATGGTGGAACTCGCCAAGCTGCTCGTCCACCGCCACTCCACCCTCGTCATCTCCATCCCCATCATCACCTCCCCCTCCACAGCCGCCGCCGTCACCCGCTACACCGACTCACTCGCCCAAACCCCGCGCGTCAACCTCCTCCGCCTCCACAACGACGACGACGACCAGTCAGTTCCAGGGGCTATCTTCTCGGTGATCCAAAATCAAAAGCCTCAAGTCAGAGAAGCCGTCTCCGCCCAGCTCGCTGGCTCCGGGGCCCGGCTCGCGGGCTTCGTCCTCGACATGCTCTGCACCTCCATGGTGGACGTGGCAGAGGAATTCAGCGTCCCCTCGTATGTTTACTTCACCTCCGGCGCCGCTTTCCTCGGCCTCTGGCTCCACGTTCAGGAATTGCACGACAATGAGGGGTTTGAGTTTAGCGAGTTCAAGGAAACCGGGTTGGCTTCCCCGGGCTCGTCCAACTCTGTTCCAATCAAGGTCATCCCTTCGAGCTTTCTCAACAAGGAATGGACGGCCACAGTGCACGGGATGGCGAGAGGTATGAGGAGAACCAAGGGTATTTTGGTCAATACGGTGAGGGAGTTGGAGTCGTATGCGATCGATTCTCTCTCGGGTGGGAAGAACCCCAAGGTGTATCCGGTCGGACCCATTCTGAACCTGAAGGGCGAAGAGTCGTCGAAGGATGTGGAGGCGATCGAATGGTTGGACCAGCAACCAGAGTCGTCGGTGGTGTTCCTCTGCTTCGGGAGCATGGGAGCCTTCCGTGGGGAGCAGGTAAAAGAGATCGCCTGCGCGCTGGAAGGAAGCGGGCAGAGATTTTTATGGTCCCTACGTCGACCTGGAGAAGGTCGGGTGTTGCCTAGCCCGACGGAGTATGAGGATGTCAGGGAGGTTTTGCCGGAAGGGTTTCTCGGCCGGACGGCGGAGATAGGAAGGGTGATGGGATGGGCGCCACAGGCGGTTGTTCTGGCTCATAAATCCATCGGAGGGTTCGTATCGCACTGTGGGTGGAATTCGACGTTGGAGAGCGTGTGGTTTGGCGTGCCGATGGCCACGTGGCCGATGTATGCGGAGCAACAGTTCAACGCCTTCTTGTTGGTAAAGGAGCTGGAGATAGCCACGGAGGTCAGGATGGATTATCGGAGCGAGAGTGGGGAGATCGTTTCAGCGGAGGAGCTCCAGAGAGGAATCAGAAGCTTGATGGAGGATTGCTCGGGGAAGGAGAGAATGAAGGAATTCAGGGATCGAGTCAGGGGTGCATTGATGGATGGCGGATCTTCTTCGTCTTCAATTGCCGAATTTGTTAGAGATGTGAGTACTCACAATATGTGATCTTACTATAGGGTCTGGCAATCATTCTTGATCTGTTCCATCATGATTTGTCCCTTCCCGTCCTTCTACTACATTTTTCCATTGATATATGAAATGTTTTTTCAATTAAATATGGACGTTCTTTTTATAAATATTATATAAGAATGAGTCGACCCGTTCTGCCCGTACTCGCCTAGGTATTATCCGACCTTATCTAAACTTAGTGTGGGATGAGTTTGTATATTGAGGTAACCGCCCCATTGCAATAGTTAATTCCAAAATGTTTGATGTATTATACCATAGCCTCTCTATATGGTACTTATCGATAAAAAAATAAATAAAGTGGTATTTGTTTTTATAATGATAAAATTTAAAATTAATATTATTTCTTTCATTATTACTCATAATTTATTCTTATAATGGTGTAAGATTATTTCTTTCATTATTACTCATAATTAAATTATTACTCATAATTTAAAATTAATATTATTTCTTTCATTATTACTCATAATTAAATTATTACTCATAATTTAAAATTAATATTATTTCTTTCATTATTACTCATAATTTATTCTTAAACAAATCGTGTAAGATTGATTATGTACTTTTATGCATGACCATGTTTACTCAAGAGTCATGATAGTCGTCTATGTTGAATGATTCAACATAATAGTGCAAAATCAACAACACTGACCATTTGTATAAATTATTAAAAAAAAAGACCATTTGTATATACCACATGGAAAACCAACAAAAGAAAAACGCTTAATACCCTAGTATGGCCCCAAGTTTAGCGTTAATGACAGTTTTGGCCCGACTTCTCAAATAAGACATTTATAACCTACTTTTCAAATTATTAGACAAATTTGGCCCGAAATATACATTAACCGTTAAAAATGACGGTCAACGATTTTTCTGTTAGTGACTCAACATCTGATGCTGAGTTGGCGTCCACATCATTTCCAATTATTAATTAAAAATAAAATAAGTTAAAAACCTTATTTCTCCCCCAACCCTTCCTCCCCTAAATCCACCTTCCTCCGCCTCTCTTATCAGATCCACCCTCTGCCTCATTCTCAATTCCTCGTTCAATAATTAATGGGCAATGGCGGTGGGAGACCTAAGTCCCCAATTGAAGTAGCGGTTGAATAGAAGAGCAAAGAAGCCGGAGAGGGGCGGCAATTGGGGAGCCTTGATGATTTGGGGAGCCCCGAACCTCTACTCTCATCGACCGCCTCTTCTTAATCTTCGACGACGAGCTGCTACTCCTCCCGGAGAGACAAGGCGCCAACTGGGAATCCGGACCCGCTAGCACTCCCAGAACGTCAGCGACTCGATCGGCGGACGCCGACAGCATGGTGGTCGAGTTAGAAGGGAAGCTGGATCTAAGGTTCAAATTCGATTCGCTGACCGGCGATGTCAATGAGCGCGGTTTTGGGGCAGACGTACGTCAACCCGGTGAGTGTCAGCGCCAAGATGGCGACGATGGGCGGGGAGAGAGAGTTCGTGATAGCGAGGTTTGCTGGTCCGCCGGCGGCAGCGATGCTGCGCAGGGATTTACTTGACGAGCTTGAAGTGCAAGAGTGGGATTGAAGGTCGTCGATTCGTTTGCAAGAGATAGAGGAAGGAGTCACGGAGGAGAGGGATCTAGAAGAGGAGGCTAGGGTTGAGCAAAATCGCCTTTTTATTTTTTATTTCATTTTCACTTTTTAGAATTTAGAATTTTTAGCATTAATAAATTATGTGGAAATGATGTGGAAGGCATGTAACTGCCATCTCAGCATTCAATGATCAGTTACTGACATATTAAGTGTTTGACCGTCAAGAATAACGGTCAACATACATTTCGGGACAAATTTGTCCAATAGTTTGAAAAGTAGGCTATAAATGTCTTATTCGAAAAGTCGAGCCAAATTTGTCACTTACGCTAAACTTTGGGCCAAACTAGGGTATTAACCCAAAGAAAAAATGAAACCCACACCAAGAAAATTGTAAAAGGAAAAATAAAGGACTTAGCTAGTTACCTTTGCCAAGTTAGGAAGTATGATATTGTCCGGTTTGGGCCAAACTCGCACGGTTTTACTTTTGGGTGTTCTTCCCAAAATGTCTCGTACTAATTGGGCTAGGTGGACACTAATATACAAGGGTCTCTTCCCTTATATTTATGATGTGGTAATTGGGCTAGGTGGATCTCTCTGATACCACTTGTGGAAATCGGGTAGCTCAATTAGTACAATATTGTCCACTTAGCGCCAAGCTCGCACGAATTTACTTTTAGATGTCCTCTCCAAAAGACCTCATACTAATGAGCTTGATGGACACTTATATATAACGGTCCCTTCCCTTGTATTACCGATGTGGTGTTTGAATTGTCCCATCACCACATCGATGCTTAAGCGAAATAAGATACATTTGGTCATTCAGAAGGACAAATGTAACTTTCACCAGAAAAAAGAACGGGTATTTAGCATAAATGGTCACAAACCTTTGCACTTAGTACAAAACAGTCACAAACCTTTAATTTGTAACCATTTGATAAAAAAAATTTGTACTTAGAACAAAACGGTCACAAATTAAACAGTGTGACCATTTCATACTAGTTCAAACTTTTGTTACCGTGTCATTGCAAATTAGACTTTTGGTGACCGTTTTGTACAAATTAAGTTCAAAAGTTTGAACGCTCAATCACTGTTACAATTCGTTCTAGTTGTATGGTAGTTTTGTTAATGTATGTGAATGATATGATCGTCATAAAGGATGACAATGAGAGAATTCAATGGCTCACAAACGGGTTCCGGACTGCTTTTTAGTTGAAAAAACTCTGTCTAATTTCTTACTTTCTTGGTATCGAAATTGAAAGGTCAACTGAGGGCATTCTTATTCGGCAAAGCAAATATGTCGATGAACACATGACCTGACATCATATATGTTGTTCAAGTGGTTAGTGTCATATACTTAACGAACAAACTACCCGACCTCAAAACATGACAAACATTTAATTTGTAACGACTCGGTAACAAACCTTTGTACTTAAAACAAAACGGTCACAAATTAAATAGTGGTGACCATTTTATACAATTTCAAAGTTTTGTTACCGTATTGTTACAAATTAAAGGTTTGTGGCCGTTTTGTACTAAGTGCAAAGGTTTGTTACCATTTATGCTACGACAAATTATTTCTTTCATTGTTACTCATAATTTATTAATGTTCACTAAACAAATCGTGTAAAGATTGATTGTGTACTTTTATGCATGGCCATGTTTACTCAAGAGTCAAGAGAGTAATCTGTGTTGAATGATTTAGAAGGACAAATGTAACTTTCACTAGAAAAAAAGAACGACAAATTATTTCTTTCATTGTTACTCATAATTTATTAATGTTCACTAAACAAATCGTGTAGAGATTGATTGTATACTTTTATGCATGGCCATGTTTACTCAAGAGTCAAGAGAGTCATCTGTGTTGAATGATTCAAACATTAATATTAGAGCTAAATTGCAAGTTTGGTCACTTGAATTGCAAGTTTGGTCACTTGAATTACTAGTAAAGTTCACGTTTGTTACTAAAATTAATTTATTGCAACCGTAGTCACTTAAATTAGGTTAACAGTTCAAATTTGGTCACTGACCGTTAGTCTCCGTTAACTTTTGCTGATGTGGCGGTCAACTCTTACTATTGACCGTTAAGTAAGTAACGTGGCAATTAAAAAAATATTATTTTTTATTTTCCACCTAATTATTATAAAAATTAAATAAAATATATTATTTTTTATTTTCCGTTTTCTTCTTTTCTTTGCAAACCCAAACGATTACCATAAATTCCTGTTGGAACTGCAACAATCATCCATCTTTGGAAATCATGAAGGAACAAAAAGAGAAAAAAACCCATAAGTGTTGGGTTAAACATTAAGCTCCCAACCCAAACAAAAAATCAAATCTTGATCCTTCATCCAATCATTTCATTCTCAACATATATCCACGGGAAGGAACCACTCGCTACACACAATCTTTTCTCCTCTACACCAGTCGTTTTAATCCCTCTGCAACACCTGAAATCAATGCCCGTTCTCCAGTGTTCTTGGCGGGGGATTGGGAGGAGAAATCGAGAACCCACCACTGAAACTGGGAGCGGAAAAGTGGGTTCTACTGCGAATTTTGGTCGCCGGCAGCATGTGGTATTCATGATTAAATGAGGGACCTTCGCTCAATAGACGTCGATATGAACCAGAAAATTGGGGAAGACGACGGAGGGCCCTGCCCTCTTTCCCGATTTCCTCGTATCCTCCAACGACCCAGATCTGCCTCCTCCACGAGCTTCCTTGTCATGGCGTCGCGATTGTGGTGCACGGTTCGCATGAGAGAGAAGAACTCGGAAAGGCGGTATACGGAGTAGACGACGACGGGGACGGAGCGGCCGAGGGCGGCATAGAGGAAGATCGGGTCCAGGAGGGTGCGGCGGGAGCAGGCGAACAAGATCCCGGAGGATTTGCTACTTCGACAACGTCCCACCGCTGGAGCCGGTCAGGGGAATAGATTTTGTTCTTTATCAATTTTTATTTTTATTTTCATTGCAATTGTTTTATTTTTTGTGATGATGAGGTGGAATTTTTAAAAGATTAATTTTTATTTTTATAATTGTCACATCACTTAGTTAACGGTCAACTATCAGAGTTGACTGCCACATCAGCCAAAGTTAACGGAGACTAATGGAGAGTGACCAAACTTGAACGATTGAACTAATTTAAGTAACTACGGATGGAATAAAGTAATTCTAGTGACTAACTAAACTTTACTAGTAATTCAAGTGACCAAACTTGCGTATATATTAGTGCAAAATCAACAACACTGACCATTTATATATTCCCAATTTCCCATATGGCAAACTAACAAAAAAATGAAACCTCACCAAGATAATTGTAAAAGGAAAAAATAAATGACAAATTCAAAAGACAAGAAACCACCTAAACTTGTTTCCTTTGACACCACATCGGTCGATGGTGAGTGAAATAAGATACCTTTGGTCATTCAGGAGGACAAATGTGAGTGTGACTCTCAGTTTCACCAAGAAAAAAAGGACAAATGTGACCGTCTTTAGTCACTGCGCCAATAGTCCAGAAAGGATCAACACCGGCCATGCGACAATCCGCTTCCTTCCACCGCCAGCGGCCGGCCGGCCGGCAGGCGGACATCCCAACTCCGGTTAGTTTAAATAACCCCCGCAGCGCCTCAAACGAATTACATCGCCACCGGCAAGAAGGGGAAATATGGGGTCAATCGATCATCAATCAATGGCAATAGTGCAAGAAGAAGAGCTACAGCATTTGGTGTTCATCCCATTCCCATCCGCCGGCCACCTCGTCTCCATGGTGGAACTCGCCAAGCTACTCGTCCACCGCCACTCCACCCTCGTCATCTCCCTCGTCATCATCACCTCCCCCTCCACCGCCACCGCCGCCGTCACCCGCTACGCCGACTCACTCGCCGCCGCTGCCACCCCGCGCGTCAACCTCCTCCGCCTCACCGGCGAGGACGACCCTTCCCTTCCAGCCGCCAATGCTCTCTCAGTGATCGCATCACAAAAGACACGTGTCAGAGAAGCCCTGCTGGAGTTCACCCCGGCGGCTCGACTCACTGGGTTCGTCCTCGACATGTTCTGCACCTCGATGCTGGACGTGGCGGAAGAGTTCGGCGTTCCCTCGTACCTTTTCTTCCCCTCCGGCGCCGCTTTTCTCGGCTTCATGTTCCATATCCAGACGTTGCACGACGAGGAAGGATTCGACGCCGCCGCGGCCGCGGAGTCCACCGAGGCTGAGTTGGTTTTCCCGGGTTTGGTCCGCCCGCTTCCGGGGAAGGTCTTGCCTTCAGGTCTTCTGCACGAGGAATTGGCGGCTGCATCGTATAGAATGGCAAGAGATTTCAGGAAAAGCAAGGGCATTTTGGTCAATACGGTGAAGGAGTTGGAGTCATATGCGGTCGACTCCCTCTCCCGGACCGAGAACCCGAAGGTGTATCCGGTGGGACCCATTTTGAACCTGAAGCCCGAATCGTCATCAGAGTCGAGCGGATCAGAGGAGGATGAGGTGGTGCGATGGCTGGACCAGCAATCAGAGTCATCGGTGGCGTTCCTCTGCTTCGGGAGCATGGGAGGGTTCTGTGCGGAGCAGGTGAAAGAGATTGCTTGCGCTCTGGAGGGCAGTGGCCATAGGTTTCTGTGGTCCCTGCGTCGACTCGAAGGAGGACCGGCGCTTACCCCGAAAACAACTGATTACGGGGATGTTAGGGAGGTTCTGCCAGAAGGGTTTGTTGATCGAACGACGGAGGTCGGAAGGGTGATAGGATGGGCTCCACCATCCACCATCCACCAGGTGCGTCTGATTCAGACTGATAATGGCTTGGAGTTTCAGTCTGCGGGGCTACTGAAGTATTATGAGGATAATGGTATTTTACTTCAGACTTCGTGCATTAACACGCCACAGCAAAATAGGACGGCAGAGCGTAAACATCGTCACCTTCTTGAAACAACTAGAGCCCTCCGTTTTCATTCCGGACTGCCTGTGCATTTCTGGGGCAATTGTGTGTTAACAACCATGTACCTCAGTAATCGTCTACCTTCCAAGCTTCTGGGTAATTGGACACCTTTTGAGGTCTTACTCGGTCGCATCCCTCCATATCAACACCTGCGAAATTTTGGTTGTCTAGTTTACATGAAGGATACCAGCCCAGGACTCGATAAGTTTGTTGAAAGAGGAAGACCCGACATTTTTGTGGGTTATCCCGCAAGTCAGAAGGGCTATACAGTCTATGAATTCCAATCCCGGAAGGTGGTTACATCTCGTGATGTTCATTTTTTCGCGGACAACTTCCCCTATCGCAAACGTCAGCTTGCCAGCTCGACCCGACGCCTTCCCCGGCTAGTGCCGTCTCCGACAACCTTGCTCTTGCCCATGACCCGATTGAGCTCTTCACTCGGCCTCTGATGGATGATACAGATGCTCACGGTGGACAGAATTCGCATGCTTAGCATGACACAGCTGATGAGAATTTCGTGCATGACGAGCTTGGAGACAGCTCCCATGATGATATCACTCCTAATTCTGAGGCTACTCAACATGCACCTATCTTGCGTCAAGGACTGCGCGAGAAGCATCCACCATGTCATTTGGTTGATATATATGACGTTGAGATATCCGGTCAGGTCCCTGAGGCATCCACAGTTCCCTATCCGATGTCAAACCAAGTTAGTTATCATCATTTTTCTCTTGACCACAAAGCTTTCCTTGCAGTCATTACCAAGATAGCAGAACCTCGGAACTTCTTGGAAGCTATGAAGGATGCTCGCTTGTGAGAGGCCATGACGAAGTAAGTTTAGGCCCTCATTGCTAAGCAGACCTGGGACTTGACCTTACTGCCACCTCACAAGAAGGCTAATTGATGCCAAATGGGTGTTTAAAATCAAGTATTTCTCGGATGGGTCTATTGAGCGTTTAGAGCGCGTTTAGTTGTGAAAGGGTTTACTCAACTTGAGGGTATCGACTTCCATGACATCTTTGCTCCGGTTGCCAAGATTGTCACAGTTCGTGTTCTTATTGCTGTTGCGGTTAATTGTGGCTGGCTTTTGCACCAGTTGGATGTGAACAAAACTTTTCTGCATGACGATATTGAAGAAGAGGTCTACATGAAGCTACCTCTTGGGTTCAGCAAAGCGGGTGACACGCGGGTTTGTCATCTCAAGAAGTCAATTTATGGCCTGCGGCGGGCTTCTCGTAATTGGTACCAGAAGTTCACTCTTGCGTTGTCCGAACCGGGTTTCCGCCCCTCCAAAGCAGATCACTCGCTACTTATAAATCGGCAGGGGAGACATTTGTTGTAGCCTTAATATATGTAGACGATGTGATCTTGATGGGCACTGATCAGACTTTTATAGCCAAAGTTAAAAGCTTCTTGGATGCAAAGTTCAGTATCAAGGACTTGGGGGTTTTGAAATATTTCCTTGGCATTGAAGTGGCCAGGTCACCCGATGGAGCTATCTTAAAGGATGCAGGAGTTTCAAGATCTCGTTCTCGTCCGAGCAGCTTTCCCGTGGAGCAGAATCATACTCTCACAAAGTCGACGGAAGACATTGCAGATGATGTCAGCAGCTACAGGCGATTGGTGGGATGTCTGCTCTATCTTATGGTAACTCGGCCTGATATATCATATGTTGTTAATATTTTATCTCAGTTTGTCAATTGTCCTAGTCCAGGTCATGTTGACGCGGCGATGAGGGTCCTTCAATACCCGAAGCAGTCTCACGGACAAGGTTTGTTTTTCCCGGCTGATGGATCGCTTGAGCTCACCGCATACTGCGATGCAGATTGGAGTGGATGCCAGACGACTAGAAGGTCAACCACAAGATACTATATCCAGCTGGGAGGTGCCTCGTTTCATGGAGGACGAAGAAGCAGAAGGTGGTCTCGAGGTCCTCTGCTAAGGCAAAATATTGGGCAATGGCGAGTACTGTCAGTGAGGTTTTTTGGTTACAGAATCTTCTCGCTGAACTTGGAGTACCACAAAAACAACCGACACCACTGCATTGCGACAACCAGACGGCCCTACACATTGCTGTCAATCCTATTTTCCATGAACGCACGAAGCACGTCGAGATGTATTGTTACTTCGTACGTGAGCGTGTGGTTTCAAAGGAGATAGCGTTGTTGAAGATATGCAGTTCGTCCCAGCTAGCAAACATTTTTACCAAGGCATTGGGCACGGACAGTTTCATCACCTTTTGTCCAAGCTTGACATTCGTGACCTGCATGCTACAACTTGAGGGGGAGTGTTGAACCGTGTCCCTCCTTGTACATTCTATTTACTTTGAGGACATTTTTGTTTATTTGTCTTGTAACCTAATTATCCATGGAGATTAGTTGACGGGGTACATTAGGAGTTGAGGTTTGCTTTGCCAAACCAACTCTCATATTCGCAGCCTATACTGCGAAGAGAAATAAAAGAACCTGAGAGCTTTGGCTCTTCGTGGAGTAGTCTCGTTCACATCGAATGGGAAAACCACGTAAATCATTGTGTTGTGCTTCCGCGTTTAGTAGAGTTTACAATTATACATTCTCATATGGTATGATCTTTCGCCAGAGAACGTTCCGATCGAAACTCAGTATATTGATTTTTTTGGCTAATACCACTTGGAAACTCAAACTATCAAGAAAGTGTCATTTGTGTCCCGAACTATTCAGTATTCCATTTATGTCCTAAACTATTTTTCCGTTAGTGTTGACCTTCTTTGACCGTTAGAGTAACAGAAAATCCAAACAGCAACGTGGCAACTGACATGAAATTTTTTAATATAAATTTTTATTTACCTTTTTGTTTAATAAAATAAAAAAATTACAAAAAAAAAACTATCAGCAAGCACAATTCCAATCCCTAGGATTTTCTGTTCTCACTCTCGTCGTCGTCCGAATCCCATTTCCAGCTCTCTTTACGAACAAAGAGTGTTCATAGGTGCCCCTGTCGAAACCAGATCGAAGAAAATAGGATCATATCCTACTATTCCAAGCCCTGAGTGCCTGCTTTAATCTAGAGAGAGCCTTCTTCAACCTTTAGACTCTATCTTCCTCCTAGAAACCAAAGCCTTGTGGTTGCTCTACATACACTTCCTTTGTCAAATCCATGCAGAAAAGTTGATTTCACATCTAACTATCAGATAGTCAGATTATGATAAGCATCTAAAGCACGTAAATCTCTGATGGTATCCCATCTTGCCACTAGGGAAAATACCTCACTGTAATCTATCTCATGTCTTTGAGCATAGCCCTTGACAACCAGTCTTGCCTTATGCTTGTCCAAGTCTCCAAGCTCATTCAACTTAATTTTTCTTATAAACCTATTTTAAGTCAATTGGAATAATACCTGGAGGAAGAGTAGTTAGTTCCCATATATCATTCTTCTCGATGGCCTTCATCTCCACTTTCATTGCTCCACCTCATATTTCATTACCAGCAGCTTCCTCATATGTTTGAGGATCCTCAGTAGTGGCACCATAACTAGCCAATCTAAATATGAAGAGTCCATTTGACTGTAGTCATATACAGACATGTGACGTGGAGGCCTCTTTAGTAGTGTCAGAACCAGCTGGTTCATCTGCTACAACTAGACCATCTTCATCATTAGAGTCATCACAAGCATCATCACTGCCATCCCAGAATATCCTAGCAGAATAGGTTGAATGTCTGATTCCCAGTTCCAGCCTTCGTTCTCATTAAAGACTACATCACTACTTACTACTATTTTCTTGGTTGCAGTATTGTAGAGTTTGTAGGCCTTTGAATCAGCAGACAACCCTTGGAAATGACATTTAGAGCTCTTGTCATCTAGTTTCTTACTTTGCTCATCTGGAGTGTGTAATGACCAAACCTCCTATGCCAAAGGCTGAGTGAGGTCTCCTTGTCATTTGTAGTTTGGAGTAGTGTAATGAAGCATTGCCTGCTGGTTTTTGTGTGTCAACTTGCAAAACAAACATTATGTTAGTTTTCATAGTAGTCTCCTGTAACACCCTCACAATTTTTTTGTTAGCCTGGTCTATATGTCTGTCTCGTGTGCGAGAATTTATAAAGTAGGGACTCTCAAATTAATTAACTTTTAGTTTTAAACAAGAAAACGCCAGCCAAACAGGAAGAGATTGTATTTGGTTCAATTTTGTGGATAGTCTCCTATTTGTTCTTATTATTGCCGACTCCACTTCTACTTTCTCACACTATTGGAAATCAAGAGTGAAGTAACCCTCAGGTATGTGAGTTGATCATGAAGAACCATTATTGGTCTTCCATCTTTTGAAGTAGAGGGATACAAGCTCTTGTTCCCATCTCATACCCCATTTATTATTTCTCTGAACCCAAGTCAGAGGGAAGCCACCTCCTTGATTTCCACTTCATGCATGAGAAACACCTATATCCCAACCCCATCTAGAGTGCCCACACGTGTTTCATCTTATCACAAGTGTAGGGGAAGTGGTAAAGATGTGGAGAGTGAGTAGTTACAGAAGGAAGAGACCATTCTTGCCTTTATCTTTCTTTTGGGAAGAAACCTTCTGCATCTTGAGCGAGAGAGGGAGAGGGAAAAGAGAAGGAAATTGGAAGCAAGTCAAGGGTGAAGCGAATTGGGTTAATAGAGGTATCCTCCTTTGATGCTTCTTTTGGTAATTTGATTTAATGGAAGGAAGGAATTTGTTCCTCATGCTGGTGATCAATAGGGTTGCCTTCGTTGTAGAGAGTTCTGGTTGGTTATTAGGCTTTGATTAGGTATTGATAGGTAATGGTTAAGATAGTTGTATTTATTAAGCATTAGTTTATCACTTTATTTAGATATGCATGTGTATATGTGCTGGTTGGGGAACGTCCTGAAATGGTAAATGGGAATGGAAATTGAACCTATGGGATCTTTGTAGAGTAAATCAACGTGGGTTGTGTGTATAATAGGATTAATAGTGGTTTTAGGATAACTAATGGGGAAGTTAAAGTATTATAAATTTAAGTGGGGTTTGAGTGCTTTCCCGGTATTGGGTGGTTAATTATCAATTATAAATGTATTTATGTGCAATAAATGGAAGGTGTGGGGTAGTAAAGTGGCCTAGAATTCATGATTAGCAATATGGCTCGCATGATGTGGGCAAAACTAAAATTTATATAGTTACAACGTTTTGGCTCCTTAATTTGAATCGGTAACCTGGATTAAATGCATGGTTTTAAACTATGGGCATATTGCTAGTATACTAAATGAATATGCATGACTTTGTTCGAAGGAAAAGAACAAGCTGGGAATCTTCTCAATGAAAGGGCATAGCTGAATAACAATCGTACAGTGAGTAAATTCTAACCTAATGTTTATCTTAATATGATTATGGTATTCGGTCATGAAGCGATCCGTGTACGAGGTATATGATAGCTTGGTAAGATTTAAATCAATAGTGATTGAAGGTTGCTATGTG